AGGCTCCCCTGGCCCAGGAAAAGGCACGCCTTTAAAAGAGTTCCCCATGAAAGACAATGGGCGAAAAGACACTCCTAAAATTCAAACAAATAAAAACCTTGAATGGCCTTTAACCTACACAAAACTTATCCATAAAAGATGTTTTCAAATGTATTTAAACTTATATACTTACATATGATGATTTCTGTTTAAAAAAAGGGTCAAAACATCATTTTCCCCCCAGTTTAACCTTTTAAAAATAAATTCTGACAAGAATTAATACGAAAAACCTTCGTTTTCTCTTAAGAGAGTCTTGTTATTCAAGGATTGCCTTTTATGACAAGACGTTTCTACATGATGTGACACCAATTCGACAAGTCATGCTTATTCAACGACATCAGCAGATGCTAACTGCTCCGCGTATTAATCTGCTGATCGGCACCGGGGGGGTAGGCAAATGATTGGAAACATACCAGAGCATAATCACGGCTAACAACACCATCCTTCTGGCCAATTAGCCTCCATGCTCTATATGATTCATGCCAATGCTCTATCGACTTGCAGATAATCTACAAGACTAACTCTGAACTAGAAACCTTTATTTCACTAATCCTATGAGTGAAAATCTGTATTTTTTATACAGTTTACCACGTTATTCGAGTGTTCGTAGTTCGGAAGTAGATGGCTGAACTACAATGTTCACCATGGTGCGGAAAATAGGAATCGTTCAGGACATTTGATCAATTATTCTACCTTAACAACCTTATAACCCGAATTTTGCCTTTAAAAGCTTTCTAAAAAAGCTCATACTCATAGTAATGAGTAAATTTGGTACATTTATGAAAAAAAAGTACATATATTTAGGTGAAAAACCTGCTGACTTATAATATTCACCATAATACGGAAAAGCCAATCATTCAGAAAATTTGATCAATTTAGATTGTTTTTTAACCAAAAAAGGCGTTAATTTTTACAGTTAGTCTTCATGTAGTTATGAGTATGTTTTAATAAACATACTTAAATTTATCATTGCTTATGCAATAGTACAAATGTATTTAGTTGGAAAATAAACTGACCTACAATATTCAAATGATGCAGAAAAGGTCTGGAAATTTTGTCAATTATACATAAAAATGAACTTACGGCACCAAATTTTCTTTAAATCGTCGGAAAATTAAAAAATAAAGATTCATTTTTATTTTTTTAACGATGTTAACAGACACACCTAGTTAGGAGTGTTGTATTTTATCTAAGTATACTTTCATTTATGCATACTTGCATAAAAGTATACATGAATTTACGTTGTAAATCTACTGACCTACAAAGTTCACAATGAGGGGAAAGGGTCAGTCCTCAAGATATTTGGTAAATTATTCGATGACATAAATGACCTTACAATACCGAATTTAATTTTAATTGATTTTTAAGGAAATAAAAAAGCGTTATGTTTGTCGTTATCCTCTATTAACATAAATCCATATAATTATGGATATATATCATACCATATAATTACGAATGCATTTTGTGTAAGTATAGGTCGTAAATTTATGTAAGCTTATTTAAAAGCATGTAATTAGGTGGCAAATAAACCGGCCTATAATATTCTCGATGATGCGAAAAAGGTCAATCTTTCAGGAGATTTGGACAATTATTCGATCAAAATAACGTTACAACGCCAAATTTTCTTTAAATCGTCTTCGTAAAATTTAATTTTTATTGTTTACTACGAATTAACAAAAATCTAAAGTTATCAGTATACTTTGTCTATGTATAATTACATTTATGGAACCGTATTTATGTAAATGTAGGTGGAAAATCTATTGCCCAACATTATTCATAACGATAAAACCTTAATTAATTGTAATGTATTAATTGGTCAAGCGGACCACGAAATTAGTGAATTTAATTATTCATAATGATGAAGAAAGGGTCAATCTTTCAGCATATTTGGTTCAATTATTCGATCAAAACGACCTTACAACATCGAATTTTATTTGAATTGATTTTTGAAAATAAAAAAAGCGTTTTTATTGTTTCACTTCCTAATGCCTTAAAATATCAGTACACATAAATCTAAGTAGAAAATCTATTCACCCGAGCTCCAATATTCACCGTAGTGCGGAAAATGGTTTGAAAGAAAACGACTTTACAATACCAAATTTTCTTTTCATTGAAAAAAAATAAAAAGCGTTTTTTTTTTATTGTTTTATACTTTGTTTATTATTTTGTTGCTTTTTATTGTTTTACTTCTTATTAACACGATGTCAAACGGTAAAGTCAATCATTCAAAATATGGATTTTGAACCATTTGCACAAAATGAATTTTCTTTCAATCGGCTTTCGACAATAAAAAGCATTCAATTTTATATTTGTTTTTCTTGTTAACATAAAGCCGAAGATATAAATATATTTTGTTAAGTACAATCAAATTGATGTACATACTTATGTATAAAAAGTACAATTGATAACTAAGTTTGTCACGTTCTGCTGATCTACAATATTTACAATGATGCGGAAAAAGTCAAGCATTCAAGAATTTTGATCAATTATTCGATCAAAATGACTACACAAAACTAATTTTCTTTTAATTGATTGTTGTACAATAAAATAAGGGGGTAATTTTTACAGTTGTTCATCATATAACCATAAATTTATTTAGAAATCGTGAGGTGCGGTCTGGTGTGATGTAGGTTTCAGAAAAACATTTTCTTTATCGTGCCAACGTTTCGATCTTTATCGAGATCATCTTCAGGGCCTGGGATTTACAAACATTGTTTACATATAACAATTACATTTTGGATGTGGAAAAGTGAATTTATACACTGCAAAATATATTTTTTATATATTCAAAGTATTTCTTGGCACGATAAAGAAAATGTTTTTCTGAAACCTACATCACACCAGACCGCATCTCACGATTTCTAAATAAATATTGATTAACGGTCACTAATCACCACACATAACCATAAATCTTAAATTATGTGATTATTTTCTCTAAGCATAGTACATATAAAATCGGCTGACCTACAAATTCACCGCGATTCCAAAAAGGTCAATAGTACAGGAAATGCGGTCCATTTTACAATAATCCAACGCCGAATTTTTTTTGAATTTGGAAAAAAATCGAATTTGCTTGGAAAATCTGTACAGCTGAATTTCAATGTTCACCATGAAGTGGAAATGGACAATAATTGATATTTGGTCAATTATATGATCAAAATGATTACAACACCGAACTTTTTTTATAATTGCATTTTGAAAATAAATAAAAAAGGTCATTTTCATAGATTTTATTTTTATTGTTGTTCCTTATAACAGCATAAAAAAGTTGTCAATACGTTTTGCATAAGTGTGGCTAATTTAGTTATAAACACTTTTTTTGTGTTTGTGATAAGTCCATTTTACAATAATACTACACCTAATTTTCTTTGAATTTGGAAAAAACAAGGGAGTTATAACATTAGTAAACCCGAATTTGCCTGGAAAATCTGTACAGCTGGATTTCAATTTCACCAGGAAATTGAAAAGACTAGTAATTGATATTTGGTCAATTATATGATCAAAATGATTACAACACCGAACTTTTTTTATAACTGCATTTTGAAAATAAATAAAAAAGAAGGTCATTTTCATAGATTTTATTTTTATTGTCGTTCCTCATAAAAGCATAAAAAAGTTGTCAATACGTTTTGCATAAGTGTGGCTAATTTTATGTATAAGAACTTTTTTTTGTTTGTGATAAGTCCATTTTACAATAATACAACACCTAATTTTCTTTGAATTTGGAAAAAACGAGGGAGTTAAAACTTTAGTAAACCCGAATTTGCTTGGAAAATCTGGAATGTCAATATTCACCATGAATGGCCAATAATTGATATTTGGTCAATCATATGATCAAAATAATTACAACACCGAACTTTGTTTATAATTGCATTTTGAAAATTTAAAAAATGTCATTTTCATAAATATTATTTTTATTACATTTATTAGGTTTCGTGGTCCGCTTGACCAACTAAATTCTTTTCAATTAATTAAGGTTTTGGTTGAGTTAAAAAAGTTCGAATCCCGCTTGTGACACTCGCTTTTTTATCTCAACCAAAACCTTAATTAATTAAAAATTATTTTTATTATTGTTCCTCATAACAGCATCAAAAAGTTGTCAATACATTTTGCATAAGTGTGGCTAATTTAGGTATAAGCACTTTTTTTTGTGTTTGAGAAAAGTCTACGGTAATTCAGGATGAAGTAATTCATGTGGAAAATCGACACAGTTGTGCAGCGATGTTTATACGATGTGTAAAATGATAAATTTTTTAAATTGTTGACCTTACACAGATTTCTTCTTTTGATTTCTTTCTAGAAAACCTGAAAAAATTTAATTTTTATAGAATGATCTCCATGTAAACAAAAAGCACTACACGTGGGTTTTAGTCGGTTATTAATAATTACTTCTGGGTCCGCCTAACATCGCCGGTTTTTCCCTTGACGCCACGGTCAGATTTTTGATTGACTTTTGGTTTATTTGGTTCGATTTAATTGATTTTAGTTGATTAAAAAAATTCAGCATTGTTAAAGGTTTGTGAAAGTAAGGACCTAAAAAATCGCATTTCATTTCTACATTCTGGACTTTATGTTGCAATTTCTTGATAAATTTATTCTATTTTATAAATGCAATGTTAACCGATAAACTGCTGAAAAAATTGAATGTGTAGATAATGAAGAAAAATTGGAAATCAACCAGAAGTGATGTTTAGAAGTTTGTTTGTAATATGGCGATTTTTCTTCTTTGGAACTGCCATTTTCCGCCTACTACGATTTTGTTTTAAATATTGGGATTTTCATCAACGCCAAGTGTCAGATGAAATTGCTTTTCCTCCAGGAGGGAGCGGGTTTTTTTTTTAATTTCATTGTAAAATAAAAGGAAAAATTCTTTTCCCCAAGTTGAAAGCCCTCGCCGTCACGCCTACGGCACGATTCTCCCCCTCGCGGCCTCGTCATATAAATACTCCCACCTTCCCGTCCGGTAGTTCATTTGTGATCGAGAACCCGAGGGAAAAACAGTGGTTTCAATTTGATTTTGATTTTTAACCGAGTTGACAATTAAAAAAAAATTATAGAAAATGAGGGAAATCGTGCACATCCAAGCCGGCCAGTGCGGAAACCAGATCGGAGCCAAAGTGAGTACCGAATGAAGTTTTCCCTTTTTCATTTTTCTTTTCCAGACCTGATTCTCCCGAAGGTTTTATCAATTTTTTAAATTTTTTCTCAATTTGATCGCTAAAACGGCCTTTGTAGGTTTTTCGGATTTTTTAAAATCACTTCTTTCAAGCCAAAAAACAACAAAGTCAATTCAATTGAAAGTACTTAAGATAGCAAGATGGGTACACAGGTACTTGACTACTTGCGATTCCTACCAAATCGTTTCTGAATGTTACTTAGGCGCTTATTTTAAGAACGTTCCGCTGAATTTAAAAAAGAACCGAAGCACAAGAAAATATTTACATTTAAAAAACAACAATATATTAGTGAACTTAGTTAAAACTTAAACTTCAACTTGCCATGGTTAAAGTTTTAAAAAAATTGTCAACCTTTTATAATTTTATTGCTTATTATCTTGACAAGTACAACCGTGCCTTTTTTTTCGTACAATCCTTAACTTTTTCGAAACAGGCCTTAAGGTCAAACAAAATTCAAATTTAATTTTTCGAGCTGAGAAAAGTAAAAGTGATTAAGTTTTGGCGTGAAAACAAAATCGTTCGAAGCGAACTTGCAACGGATGCAGGGATGCTGCTTAGAAATCAGACACCGGTTGCGTTTTTTAATCATTAAATTAATTATTAAACATTTATTTTATATATTTAGACCAAAACATAAATAATAAACATAAACATCACGCGGATTTTTTTTTAAATTTTCCTATCTTGGTTGATCCTTCACTTCCTTGGCAGGTGCAATATTAATTTTTTTTAAATATATTTGATAACACGGTGCCTTGTTTTTATGCCGATTTTTTACAAGAAACCATCATGGATTCATGGGAGTAGTCGAATAGTTTATAGAAAAAACAGTTCCATGCACATAAATAGTTTTCACTCGTCTTTTCCAGTGGTTCTTAGTCGCCAGAGATTTTTCCAAATTTAAACTACGATTTTAATCTTTACAAAAGGATTGCGTAGAAATAATTATTCTACTACCGATTTTGAAGTAAATTTGAAAAAAATTGACCATCATGATCCACCTTTGATGGGATCTTCTCGGTGAACGACTAGCTTGGTTTACGAATATTTTCGGTCCGCCAAGCTTCCCTATTTAGCTTTATAATGATTTTGACGTAACAACGGAAAGTCAGTCAAAATTGGAAACGACCAAGGTACAAAATGATAATAATAATAATCGGCCATAACGGTCTTGAGCGTTAATGGCAAATCGAAGTCTTAACTTTTAACCTCTGGATCCCGTCTGGGTCAGTGGGTTAAAAGTAACATCCTGGTTTGAAAGCTGAAAGACCACAAAGAGGCTGAAAATCCTTTGAAATAAAAGTCATCAAAAAAATTGAAAAGATGATGGTCTAGAAAAGCGACTGCCTGAAATGTATGTAATTATACATTTTAAAATTGGGCAGTTTCATTTACGATTACAGATAAGTCAGAGGTTTATTTATTAATTATTTTTTTATATATATTCTACCTTATTTCATTGTTCAATGGGTTTAAATGAAGGTCTTTCGTGTTTGCAATATCACGAAATCTCTTAGCCCTTTAGGGACGGTTTCTTCATCCTTGAACCGGTTTTCATGTAGATGTGGTTTTTTTTATTCCACACAGTCTACATTCAGTTTAAAAGGCTCGGAATTAGGGCAATTTAAAAGGACATGCGGACCAGAATTGGTCATCGTCCGATTTAGGAAGAAACGGCTTTTGACGAGGGCCCAAGGCCTGTTCGGCCCACCCCTTTGTCCTTGCTGCCCACGGGGGGCTCCCACGTCTACCGACTCCCCCGAAGAAACCGGGCTGTCCAAATAGGAAAAACTACTTCCCTCCGCCCATTGGTTTATTGACGCCAATAAATGGCTATGAGGTGATAAACGCTATTGCGAAACGGTCGTGTAGCAACTTTAAAATAAATAAAATAAAACTATATAACTTGCGGATATTTCTGAGAATCTGTAAACGCCATATGTCAATTACTACATTGAGAGGAAAGAAAAGTCCGTTTTAGAGGATTAGAGGTAAATAAGTCACAGATTAAATCTCCCACTTGTGTTTACAATTGGATTTTGTAAATAAATCTTTGCATAATCAATCTCATCTTTGTTGTAAAACTTCTTTCTAACGTTCCGGTGATTGAATTTTTTCAAGTTGTACTCGGCTAGAATTGTTGGAAAATGGAAGAAGTCAAGCGTAGGCGGCCAGTGTGCTTAACATAACCAGAAAAACTGACCAAAGGGTCTTCCGTCACTACCGAGATAGTGCAGGTTAGTCAAGAAGGCATCAGGTCGCCTTAATTTACTAGGCGGAATTTACTACATAAACGACATATTACCGCTGTTGAGATCAAGCAACGACTTCGACAAATTAAAAACCTTAATGTCAGTTTACGCACTCTAAGGCGAAGACTTTCAGAAGCTGGGGTACGTGCGAGATGGCTTGTCACTCGGTCCAGAACTTCTGACAAGGCACAGAACAGTGTAAGTTTCGCAAGAAATCGCATCAATTGGTCTGAACAATATTGTTTGATGGATTGGACTAAAATCTTGTTTTCGGATGAGTCAAAGTTTTGAGATAGTCTGACGAATGATGATTTGAAGAAGAACATCCCTGAGATTTAGCCCCGCAACATTTTCCCTCCAGACAAGCCATGGAAATGGCGTGTTATGGTTTGGGCAGGCATTTCCACGGAAGGTCGCACAAATTCATTCTTCATCGAGGGTTCCCTAACAGCTGCGCGATACATTGAAAATCATCACATTGAAGATGTGTTATCAAAAGTTGTTCCATATATGCCACTAATTGGCGAGGGTTTTATTTTTATGCATGACAACGCAAGGCGCCACACAGCTAAGATCTCTGGTGACTACTTGAAACGGGGTTCAATTCATGTTTGGAGTCGCCAGCATGTAGACGACTTAAACCCTAGTCGCCCAGTGATGGCAGAGAATTTGCAAGAATTAAGAATTGCGCTGTTGGAGGAGTATGAAAATATTCCTCAGCCCTCATTCAAAACCTCATAAAATCGATGCCACGTCTGATGTAAGCGGTGATCAATACAAGAGGAAGAAATCCTCCGTACTGACTTGAATATTTTCTTCATTGTTTCCGTAGCAACATTTTTCATGAAATTGTTTCACTCAGTTTATTTATTTTTTATCTAGCTTTATATTATATTTTTCCTTCAAAACAGTACGTTGAAGTAATCAACAACAAAAAAATTATAACAATTGCAAGTATTTACTAAAAACCGAGGGTGGCCATTTTTTTGCCTTCCAGTATATGTTTTCATTTATAGACACGATGCATTGACATCACCCAACTGCCTTAATTAAAGGCAAACATTCCAAAAAAAATTATCATAGCAAGCCAGGCATAAAAATAGCTATGAGATCTTCCTGAGGACGGTATGTTGGACTTGTAGTCTGCTAGGTCATCCTGTTCTCCACGTTCTCCCACCTGTCTGTTTTATTCCGCCAGTTATGTCTTTTAAAAGGTACCAACAAATCTACCACGGAAGATGGTAAAACGCCGAAACACATAAGCAGGACAAAACAGCAAGCAAGGTTTGGTCAGATGGCCAAGCTACGAAACGAAATTGGGTCGTTTTAATCTGCCTATCCTTGTTTTGTAGCTTGAAAGCTGGTAGATATATATAGACACACACACAAGCTAAACCAGCAAGCAAGATAAGACCAGTGGAAAAAGCTACAAAACTTCATTTGGTTTTGGCTGTTTTCTAGTTTTGAAGCAGGTCAGTGGTTAATCTGTGTGTTATCCTATCAGTTGTATCTTTTCGTACCGGCACAAACCCACAGAGAAGAATTCAAAAAACGAAACCCATATCACAGTCCAAAACAGTTAAGAAGGGCGGAACGACAAAGCTGTAGCTTGGTAAACAATTTCGTCGTTTTCGATCATCTTAGTCTGTCTATCCTTACTGTTTGTACCTTGGAAGCTGATCTATTTTTCTTTTAGTCATGTTCTTTCGTAAGGAACTCCAGTGCAGAAGGGACGACTATAGCAGTCTAGAATAGCAGATGGTCAGATCATACGGGCCACGCTAAAAAACGCAATCTCGTTGCTGAATGTTTTAGACTATTAAATTCACTAATTTCGTGATCCGCTTGACCAATTAATATATTACAATTAATTAAGGTTTTTATTCGAGAAAAGTCAATGGCACGAGCGGGATTCGAACGCCGCTGCTCTACCACTTGAGCTATTGTGACCTCGATCCACTCGGACACCAACTTCCCATCTCAACCCCACCTTTTGAATTTTCCCTCCTTTTTGCCATTTTTCAAATGTCGTGTAATCGGATTGGATTCTCGGGGACAAATGAAATCGCCGCAAGGAGAGCTTTAGTGAAGTATACTTCATTTAAATTCATGAAAGAAAAATGAAAAAATGAAAAATGGCAAAAAGGAGGGAAAATTCAAAAGGTGGGGTTGAGATGGGAAGTTGGTGTCCGAGTGGATCGAGGTCACGATAGCTCAAGTGGTAGAGCAGCGGCGTATCTAGCCAGGGTTCGAATCCCACTCGTGCCATTGACTTTTTTATCTTAACTAAAAACCTTAATTAATTGTTTTAGACTATATATGTATGTTGAATATATATGTTTTAGGCTATATGATCCTTCATCATTTTGTTCTGCCTATCCTCGTTATTTTGGATTGCCAGACGCGTTTCGGCCTTTCACCATCGTTCGAAGTTTGCGCTGTGTTATCCCGTCAGTTTGGACATTTTTATGATGTACGGAAACCCGGAAACCATCCACTGAAGATGGCGATGTGGTAGAACGACTAGAACGATTAAGTCAGTTCTGTTAGATCTTCGTATCGACCTTGTATCATTTGTCTTCCTGCGTGTCCAGACCAGAACGATAATTGGATAATGATTAACGCCTAAACCGATAATCCTTTCTCGCCTACGACAACCAGAATAGTCGGACCTTGAGCTTCGGAATAACGAAACGCTGGCCTACACGCGAACCTGTCAATTTGTGCGCGTCGGCTGGAAATCCGTGATCGAGCCTGGAATTAATTTCCACCGGAGGCGTCGAGGCGAAAAGCAGTGGGTCGTTGTCCTTTGTAAAAAAGAAGGCGTCCGTGTACAGTTAAGATTCCTTCCTTTCATTTCTCTGCCCCCTCGCTCCTTTCTTTCTGCGAGACTTAAGGAGAAAACGCGCCGGAATGAAAAGGATCTGAATTTTCGAAGAGATTCTACCCACCGTCAGCACCATTGTTCGACCGCTATTCAAAGTACGATGGAGTTTTAAAGCAGTTACCCTTTCAATACACTATAAACCTTTTTATTCACATCGGTTCTTCATTTAGACAAAGCATTTTGTGTAAAGGCAAGAAAGAAGTATTTTGATTTTTACAAAGAAACTTCTAAAACTTTAAGACATGAATTGAATAGGATAACTTTGATGGCTAATGTTAGAAAGTGAAAGTAATATAAAACTTTCGGCAAAATGGATTTGTATAAAACTTATGATATTGCTTGCAGTTCTGGGAAATTATTAGTGATGAGCACGGCATCGACCCCACTGGTGCATACCACGGAGACTCCGACCTTCAGCTCGAGAGGATCAATGTCTACTATAATGAAGCGTCCAGCAAAGGTACTTATTATTGTACACAACAATACTTTTTATAATATCAGAAGTATGAGGTGTTTTTCTAAAGATGAAAATTTGTTATTTTTGTTAACGTACGTTCTTTCTTTTCTTAATTTTTCCGAGGAGTTGGGAAATACGTACCGAGAGCCATCTTGGTCGACTTGGAGCCAGGCACCATGGATTCGGTCCGTTCCGGCCCGTTCGGCCAAATCTTCCGTCCGGACAACTTCGTCTTCGGTCAGTCCGGAGCCGGAAACAACTGGGCCAAAGGTCACTACACGGAGGGCGCGGAACTCGTCGACTCCGTTTTGGACGTCGTTAGGAAAGAAGCCGAGAGCTGCGATTGCCTCCAGGGCTTCCAGCTGACCCACTCCCTCGGAGGTGGTACCGGATCCGGCATGGGAACCTTGCTCATCAGCAAGATCAGGGAGGAATACCCGGACAGGATCATGAACACCTACTCGGTCGTTCCCAGCCCGAAAGTCTCGGACACTGTCGTCGAACCTTACAATGCTACACTCTCGGTACACCAGCTCGTCGAGAACACAGACGAGACCTACTGCATAGACAACGAGGCCCTTTACGACATCTGCTTCAGAACCCTGAAACTCTCCACGCCCACTTACGGTGATCTTAACCATCTCGTCTCCCTGACCATGTCCGGTGTCACTACCTGCTTGAGGTTCCCCGGACAGCTCAACGCCGATTTGAGGAAACTGGCGGTCAACATGGTGCCCTTCCCTAGGCTTCACTTCTTCATGCCCGGATTCGCTCCCCTCACCTCCAGAGGATCCCAGCAATACAGGGCTCTTACCGTCCCCGAACTAACCCAACAGATGTTCGACGCCAAGAACATGATGGCCGCCTGCGATCCCAGACACGGCCGCTACCTCACCGTCGCTGCAATCTTCAGGTAACTTCTTAAACCACTTGTTTATCACTTAGTACAGTCTCCTAATCAGATTCGCAGATCTATTGTAATGTATTGGTTGAAAGACCTGTTTCAGTCTGTTGAACCCTCAACTAATCATAACGAGAAAACAACGATTACAATAGATCATTAACCCTTAAAGAGAAAAGGTTTTGTTTTATGGATAAATACTCAAGTAAATTGGTTTTTTCCAGAGGAAGAATGTCGATGAAAGAAGTCGACGAGCAGATGCTGAACGTGCAGAATAAGAACTCGTCTTACTTCGTCGAATGGATCCCGAACAACGTCAAGACCGCCGTCTGCGACATCCCCCCGAGAGGTCTCAAGATGTCCGCCACCTTCATCGGCAACTCGACAGCCATCCAGGAGCTGTTCAAGAGGATCTCGGAGCAGTTCACCGCTATGTTCAGAAGGAAGGCTTTCCTCCATTGGTACACTGGAGAAGGCATGGACGAGATGGAATTCACCGAGGCCGAATCCAACATGAACGATCTTGTCTCCGAATACCAGCAATACCAGGTACGATCCTCGACTATTGATTAACGTTTCATCATTCTAAATCTTTTTTTTAAATCGTTTTACAGGAAGCCACAGCCGACGAAGACGCCGAATTCGACGACCAGGAACACGAAGTCGACGAGAACTAAGATGTTTAGGCCCACACTTAATAAATAAAAAAAGACCAAAAATTTATTTAAAAAAAGCATATAAAACTATATTATATTGCAAAATACTGCTTTGGAAAAAAAAAATCCCATAACGCTTTTCTACAGACACGGATTTCGAGGATAGGCGTATGAGCCTTTTTCAGTCTTTTTTGGCTCCCATAGGGCCTTTTCAACTAATTAAAATAAAAAATTTAAAAAAGTGTATATTTTCTTTTTAATATAAGCATATATAAAAACCTGAATATTTTATTTGCCATATTTCAATTGGACAAAATGCAAACAATAGTTGACAAAAGTAGATAATGAAGTTTTTAATTATCATAACAGATATCGTCCTTGACCTTGATATATATTAATATATCGTAAGATACATTTCTTTATAATTTATTTGCAGTAAATGACGTATTATTGAATTCATTATACACATTCACCCAGTTTTAGCATTCTTGATATTTTCCTAACACCCAGATATTAATAACAAATTTTATTGTTATTTTGCATTTTGTTTTTATTATTTGTTTATTTGCTTATTCATAGCCAAAAGCAAAAAAAATCAGTTTACTAAAAAACTACAAGGTTGTGTTTGTGTTTGACCCTCGGATGTTCTGTTTGTTGTACTCTGTTTTCCATTACTACATTTTACTACTTGATTTTTTTTCTTTTTTATCTTGCCTCTTTTTGCCACGCGATGTTTAAACATTTCCCAGTGACAATAATTTTATAATTTCATCGTTAAAAATGAAATTCCCAATGTGACATAAAACCATACATATTTAAAAGTAGGACGATTAACTAATTTTTCCGTTGTCATTGAAATCTGCTTGTTTATACAAAATTGTGTTTTTCACGTCTTTTGCATCAGCAAGCTTCACATTATAAACAAAATCTTTACAGAATTATTTTCCTTGTTTTTATTCCTACCAACACGTCGCTTCATTTGTAGAATAGAGAATATTTCATTTTCCGTATTTTACGTAACTCAGAATGTGCATTGTGTTTTTGAGCCTTTGTTTTTTCGTCGACTTGGCCAAAAGCTCGAGTTAATAGTCTGCGGTGGGGAAGGATGACACACACGCCATTGTCTATCAGACTGTGACCATTTTTTCTTTCTTTTAAGGCTCATGATCTTGTTTCTTTGTTCGATCAGGCGAATCATCTTTCTCTGCAGTGCGTTCGAAAAGCTCGATTTTTTTAATAAACTAGACATACCGAGAGCCCATTATACAGAAGTCAGAAGCGTTCGAATTCAAACTGGACAGGCTGTCTGACATGTATATCGCAAATATATAACAAACAACTTGTAAAATTGTTAAAGATGGTAGAACTAACAAGACTCACAATTCTCACTTTTTTACACCTGATGAAGTTGCGTTTTTCATTGATAAACCTACTACGATAATTAAAAGTCAACCACCTTGCAATGCTTAGTGCTCTGGACAACTTGAACGGCAATATACATTTGAATATTGGTGTCCCAAGGGTCAATTTTATGAACGTCCTGTTTCCGATATACTTTAACTAATAGGATTGTGTAGTGTGAAAGTTACAAAGATCTTTGCACTTGGTTTATTACTTCTTTTTTTATGTATAATATATTAAAACTATCTTCAATTGGGTAACAAGTAACAATGAGTGTATAAAATAAAATAAATAAACAATTGGCAGTATCTTATGGGTCCTAAGTATTGTCTCCTTAATGAAGATCCGACGGGCATCGTCTTTTTAGTCTGCAAGAGAGATGAAGGGAATACAAAAATGAGAGTTTTTGTATTTTTGAGGATTTATGATGGTTGGGAGGTTTGTATGAAATTGGCGATAACGAGAGTGGACAAAAGGAATATTTGGGCCTTAGACTTCAAAGGATCGCTGTAGCGTCTGCAACGGTTAGGATGGTGGTTTGATGAAGGTATGGGAGGTCTGTATAAACCTGGTATTGTACAGGGACCAGAGCACTGCCCTGTGGTACCGCAGTTTAGGGACGACGCCGATCTTTCGATGAACCGTACCAGTCAGTGAGGTAGTAGGAAGGATAAGGTACTATCAACCAGATGTGCTGTTGAGTGTACTGTCTGAATTTGTCGCATCAGTAAGCTCTTAGTTATGTATTTCCCCCATTTCCTAGTATCCCTCATCATCATCCCCTTGGAATGCTGGAATCACTAATGGCACACAAGAAGAACCCTAGGTAAATGATAGGTACTAAAACCAATAATGGCATATTAATTTTTTGATAGCGTCCATCCTAATTTTGTGGAATTCCATAATAAGTTATCAACTTAATGGCACATTAGCTAAATACAAGTCATAAGACCCAAGTTATCCATAGCTCATTAATCTAGCTGACCAAAGCTAAACAAATTAAGCAGCATACAATGATTGGCAAATCTATGCACCACAGGGGTAATGTAAACAACCCCATCGACTCTCTTAGAAATATTACTGAACCAACCTATAACATTTATAAAAGGAGAACCTAAGAAGATCCTGAAAACATTCTTCACAACATCCTTTAAAGTCTGCACTATAGGCTAAGGAGAAAGAGAAATCAGGATAAAATGAAATAGTATTATGTGGTACACATATGGATCAAAAATCAATGAAGGAACTGGAAACAGCCCATTTCTACAAGCCCAAAAATATGAGCTCACTAAAGAAGTACACCTTTACAGTCTTTCAAGGTGGAATACATGCCGTCAATGTTTGTGCCTTAGAAAATCTTAAAAGAGGTTACACTGACAAAAAGTCCTCATAAGTCCTCAGACAGAACTATCTCATAAAAAGGTCATATTGAAAATAGTCAGTAAATCAAACAAAAATCTTCAAAACCCGAGAAAAAAACAACAACATGACAATACCCTTGGGTGCCAGGAAATAGGAGGTTCTGAATAATGAAAGAGCAGGTAAACTGGCCAGAGATGTATGACCAGTTGTAGGCCCAGAACCTATACTTGGTGATAAAAATAAAAAAAGAAAGAAAGAGAGAGAAGTGGACAAACTCCAGATCTTCCAGAGGCAGTAAATCAATGATTGAATACCCTCACCAAAACCAGGAAGCCCATTGCTGCATTAGACAGGGTAAAACAAAAGGATAAGGCTAGTTAGTGGGGTCACTGGCTGAACGGAACTGAACTAGGAAAAGTTCAACAAGTCAAAAAGCTCCAGTGCTTGGGTAATACCAAAACCCACTTCCTAGTATCCTCTTACCACCATCATCATCATCAACCTTATGTATAAAAGCCTCCTCACGGATTTGCTAAGAAACTGGGGAAAAAAAAAACATTTTCCAACATTTCTTTACAAATGGATCGTTGGTGTTCATACTATACGGAAGACAGTTCCTCACTGAAGATAGAAAATACCAAAACAATAATAAATGAATAATTATTAATAATCAATAAGAATTAATAAGAAGTCAGAATTGCTTCAATCTGTTTAAATTTTTTCCTGAAAGGGCTTCGAATATTATAAATATGAATATTGTTTATGGTAAACAAAACGTCTGAAAATAGCATCCAGTTCATGGTTTAACCAAGCACTAAAAAGTTGGATAAAAAGGTTCTGAAATGCTTATCATTTAAACTTTACTAAAATAATAGTTAACCCAATCTGATTATTTGAACTAGCAAGGTTAAATCACTAAAAGAAGATCTACTAAAGCCCTTGATTCTTAAAACTTTTGCCATTTGGATCAAGGTAGGGCCTCAAGCCTAGCCAGGGACAGATCAGATTGATGATATGTGTGAATTTAGATGTGGGCGGGAGATTGTAGCATGAAAAAAGTTCAGGGCAATAGTGTGAACTGAACCACAACCAAGGGGTCTAGTCTATGAGCCGAGAGTCTAACACACTGCCCTCTTGGAAGATAACTAAAGAATGTTAGTGGCAAAACTATAAGAATACAGCTGTACTACCCCTAAAAAAACTACCCCTTTTTGAGTTGTAACAATTTTCTTTCATATACTGGCTCTCAGTAATTTAAGTTAGTTTTTTTGTTCTAACGATAATGGTGGTCAATGAAGGACTGTAAGGGTATTTGTTTGTGATACTAACAGACAACATTTAAACCTAACAAACAAGCATTAATATCCATGTAGTAAATTTTACTAAGATTACTTTTTACCCAAATGGGGTTTCCTCCTGGTGTCAGAGCTAATTAGTTATTTAAAATACAAAATTAATTATAGAAATAAAGGTTTTATTGATTATTAAAAATATTGTAATTAAAACATTTAAAAAAATTGTTGAAATTGTAAGATGATCTAAAACTTAAAAGAGAAAGTTAAAAAATTATGAAAAAACAATGTTATAAATAAGAATGTCATGGGTTCGAATCCTGCTTGTGTCACTAACTTTTTCATCTCAACCAAAACCTTCATAAAAAGAATAATTAATTGAAAGAAGTAATTTGGTAAATTAGACCACAAATATAATGGATTTAATAATTAAGAATGTTATTAAAATAAAAAGAAATGAAACTAAAATAATTTATGAACACACTAGATCAATGTATGGACTTCAATAAAAAAGCAAATTCATCTTACTGCCCAGCTTTCGACCTATTTTAAGGACATCATCAGGGCCTATATTAATTTAACATTTTTGTACAATTGATTTAACAATATTTTTCATAATGTGAAAATGTGACTCCAGTACAGCATAAAATCCTTCGTTAAACAAGAAAAAACTGGTGTGAACCATATTGAACTAATATATGCTACTTTTTATGTATGGTGACAATACTTTCCCGCCTATTCAAAAGTGACACATAGTGTTGCTTAGCAGCTAAGAGTCTACCTACAGTAATGTCATTTTGCTGTAGCATCACACAATGGAATACTTAAGAAAAAACCAAATAAACCATTTTTTATCATTTTTTGATTTCACTTTTCTTGTGGGTGTACGATATCATCAATAATCTTCATAGCGATAAAAGTTCATACATAAATTCCATGTAACGCTGGTCGAACTTAGTAATTTTTTAAAATATTTTATGCGGGAAGGCAGTGGGAGTACTTACCCATAACGAATAATGTGGTTTTTAGTGACTGGTTGTTTACTAATTTGTTGAAGTCGTGAGGAGCGGTCAAGAATGAGGAAGTTTAGAAAAACACATTTTTCATTTTATTGTTATATGCGTTTTGTAATTAGCCCAGGCACTGAAGATGACCCGAATAAAGGTCGAAACATCGGCCAAAAAACTATCTCATTCTTGATGGCTCCTCACGACTTCAACAAAATAATTAATAATAATCTCATCGTAGTGTCGGTATTTTCTACATACACATCATCAATCATCTTCGCAGTGATAAAGACAAAAATATATTACCCAATACATCCCACTTTGGTCGAACCAGATAGTTTTAAAAATATTTTGCTCGAGTTTTATTTGGCAAGGTAGTGTGATTGCTTACCTACAACGAATCATAATCAGACCTAAAAAGTAAAAAAAAATTACAAAATCATAGCAAAGAATCATTTAATATGTTTCAGCTAACACAAAATAATAATTATTAAACTGACGCTAGAAGGCATGAGTGTCACAGCTCCGATAACGTTGTTTAACGGTTCCGTAACGACTGAAGTAAAAAAAAAAATGGCCTTTATAATTCCCAGTACTTGAAAACGTATATTAACCACTTTCGGCACAATCAGAAAAAGAATTTGAATTAAAAATACAAAAAAAAAGAAAGAAAAACAGCTACGCGCCCAATTAGGGATGTTCCGATACTATCATTCAATACTAGTATCGATATTTTTCGTTTAGATACCAGCTATTTTGGTATCGATACTTTACCTATATCAATACTTTTATTTGGTATCCTCGTTCGACATTAATTTTTTTATCCGTTGAAAAATTGGATTTTGTTAATTTTTAAGACGAGCAATAGGGTTTTAACTTAAAAACTAGTTGAAACCCGAATCAAGTACTTATTTAAAAAAAATTTATTACATACTTAATTACATGCAAACCATCACATTTTCAATTACCCTACTTTACCAGTTTAAAAACCGATTCTTTTTAGCCATTTTATTTATTTTTTTAATAGGTATTTAGAGATGAACACCAAAATTTAAAAGGTAAACATACCAAAACGGGTGGGTAAAAATATTGAATTTGAAGTACTGGTATAACAAATCCGTGTACCTATTTGATTTTGTCAATTAGGTTTTTTATATACAAATAACCAATAACAAGCTCCTACCGCACAGTTTTTTCCTGTAGCTCAGAAAAAAAATTGGTGATACAGAAGACAGATATACATCTGACATACAGAATAGACAATAATACACAGACAAGAATAACCGAGAAGGATCAAGTCTCACATTTTTACTGGTAAAATCCAATGCAATAAAAAAACAATATTAAAATAAACAATTTTTGTCAGAAGTTTATATATTTTAGTGTTTTTTAAAAATACAAAATGATGTATTTTCATACATAAATAAAAAAAAAAAACAAGTACAAGTCCTTTTTTCTCTTTAACGGTAAGACTTTTGGTACCTGGCCCTGGCACCAGGACCTCCGAATTTCTTGGCTTCGCACCTACGTGGATCGGCAACAAGTAGCGTCCTGTCATATTGGATCACAATATTTTTGATTTCCTTTTTCGATGCTTCGTCGACATCTGCAAAGGCAAAAACAATGTCAATAAATTAAATATACTCATATTTGACCACAGACTAAGTACAATACTAGCTTCTTTTACCCGTGACCTGGTCCACACGTGACTGTTTTAATATGGCTTTCTAACATAATGTCTCGTTTCTCAAATCCTTCTCTTCTTCAGTTCACTTTACATGGTAAAAAATTGTCTGTATGAACCCGTTAAGGATGGAATTTCAAAAAAACCTTTCTTAGCAGTTATCTATGTTATTACAGGAATGCACTGTCAAAATTTCAGCCCTTTAAATTCAGTGGTTCGATCTGTGCGTTGTAAGTCAGTCTCAGAACTGTTTTATATATACAGACCTATATTTGTGTGTTAATCGACTTATTCAACACAATAAAATATCGTAGGTTTGGCCATTTCCCACGTATCAAAATACACATAATTTTTTCAATTTACCAAAGTAACTTGCTGAGGATTTCATATTATATCAAGAAATTCAAATGATCAAGTTTCAAATTAAACAGAGCCGAATATGTAAGCGATTCAATAGGCACTGTCAAGTCCTGAACTTACAATTACCAGGGTGGCCCCTTTGTTTTGTTTGTTTACTACCAGTTAAGGTAGCCGCTTCTATTACAGGTACCCTTCATCGCCAACATCTTCCAAGGGACAAAGAGTCAAGCATTTCTAAAGCATTCAAAGCCTTAATCATATTTCAAAACCCTTCCATTATCATTTGATACTTTTCTTTAAGAACTTTAAATTTCTCATACTACGAGTGTAAGTGCAGTTAATGCCCGGTGGGGATATGGATTGGAAAAGTCTAGGTGTTGGGAATCAATCCTGCGACCACAGGGACTGACCCACCTTTACATTTTAGTAAAACAAGTACAAGTGAGACATACTGAAAATAAAATAATAAAATACTCAATGAACATAATTTAAATCTTACATTTCTGATAGTACGAGACGAGCGCCTTGCTAATCGCCTGCCTGATGGCATAGATCTGAGAGACATGACCTCCACCGTTCACCCTGACACGGATATCGACTCCGGAGAATCGGTCCTTGCCAAGAAGTAGGATCGGCTCCTGGAGTTTGTACTGGAGGACCCTCGGCTCGACCATCTCAAGTGGGCGACCATTGACACGAAGAGTGCCATTGCCCCGTTTGCAGTAGGCGACTGCTGTGGCAGTTTTCTGTGTATACAAGTTGAAATTAGATAAAGCGTATAACTCTGATAAATGATACAAGAGTAATAAACATATAAATTAATATATATTATAGAATTGAAAATCCCTTGGACAAGACACTATCACGTGACTTACAATTCATAGGTTTGAATAATATCAAAACAAACGTCCATATTATTATAAAATCTGTTTAAAATATCGATAAGACATATAAAACTACTTAAAACTGGACTAATTTATCAATAATAATATATTTAAAGGATCAAAACTAAGTGACTAACCTTTCTTCCAAACACCTGGACGCATTGGATCGGCTCGCGAACCCGCTGTAAAATTCCATTTTATTAAAGTATTAAAACGTTTAAATATTTAATTATATCCAAATACACACCTTTGGAGTCTTAGCGGACATCATTTTGGTAAGATTTTTGTCCAAATAACAAAATTGATACCCAAAGAGGAACACGGAAAGACGGGACCACGTTGAGAACGGGCCAAACGGGAGAACGAATCGTACAAGTCTGCCAACTTAAACCTCAATGAAGCCAGATTGTTTAATATCTCTTATTTCCCCAAAAATAATTTATTTAAATTAACATTTAATTAAAATATCTATGTTTGTTACTTTTAACAATAGTTTGACAAAAGTTTAATAAAAAAAAATATATATATATATATATCTGTAAATAGCAAAAGTTATGGAGGGGGCGTAGGTTGTATGTATAATGTATGAGTATTTACATTTAAGTTTTCGTAAAGAAGTTATTTTTTGATAGATCGCTTATGTAATAACTTAGTTTCGTGTATTAAACAAGGGGACGACCGGGTTGGTGGGTCACGGATTTATTTGGACCGATGTTTTTTTGGTCACACTCCAAAATAGCGGACACGTATACGCCACTTCTTGTGAATAAGCCTCGATTTCGCCAATTTTTAGTTTTTTGAAAGTTGAAATTTTATTTCTCCGGAAAATAATGCAGGATTTGGAAATAATTGCAAATAATGTTTTCTTTCAATTACCCTTCTATATAATAAACTGTTTATTGGATGATTATGTCTGATGGATTATTCTTTTGTAAATTTTTTAATCCTCTTCCAAACAAAAATGTTTTTCAACCTCAGTACCATTTAGTTACTTCGGAATAAATCAGACTTTACTTGATTTTCGCGTAATTTCGTTTTACGAGTTTAAACTAGGTCGTAACTGCCGAAACGGCCAGAAACAATGAAAAGTCTGTGGCGATGACAGTGTGAATGATAAGACTGTTCAGAGATAGTTTAAAAAGGGAGAATTTAGCCTTGAAGACAAAGAAGATTGTGGAAAGATTACTTCCCTAAATGATGTTCTGCGAGCTTTGGTCGAAGAAAATCCCAGAACGTTTCGAGAGCTTGCAGAAATCTGTCAGTTAGCAAATCGATCGTCACTGACCACCACCTTTTCTGGATAGAATTGTTACTTATGGTGAAAAGAGGATTCGCTACAATAACAGCAGACGTTCTGGATAGTGGATCGATAAAGGAGAAGCAACACCACATTTTCCAAAGCCCCTAACTCATCAAAAAAGGAGATGGTGACACTTTGGTGGGCTTCATCTCGGCTGATTTACTACAGTTTCTTGATTCCTGGCGCAACAATCAATGCCGAATTGTATTGCTCTCAAATTGAAGCAATGCACCAGAAATTGGCATTATTGAAGCCATCTTTGGTCAATCTGAAAAGGCCAATTCTGTTACACGACAACGCTCGGCCCCATGTGACTACACGAAATCTGCTGGATGTTGGTTATAAACTACAATTAATTAAGGTTTATAGTTGAGATAAAAAAGTCAATGGCACGAGCGGGATTCGAACCCACGATCTTCGGCTTGATACGCCGCTGCTCTACCACCTGAGCTATCGTGACCTCTATCCACCCGGACACACATTGGGAGAAGTGTATTGATTGTGATGGAGGGTATTACATGTTTTAAATCGTTTAATTGTTTTTATTTTACAACCATAAATCTATATTATTTTACAAAATTTTTATACAGATTGAAAAAAAAAAATATAGTAAAAGCTATCAACGTTTATCAATAAGCAAAAAATTTCTGAAAACCAAATACTTTTCAAGTAAATAGGTCATCATTTGTGTCGTAAAATTAGTATGAAATTTCGTTTTAGCACCTCTATAGAACCCAAAATATTTCGTCGTCAAAAAATTGTGAAAAAACAAAACAACACTCTGAATGTAAGACAGGTAAATATTTGATCCAATTGTGCGACTCTAAATGAAACCGGTTTGCGATGTACATCGAGTTCAGAGCTGAAAATAAGTGGTACACTTTACTTTCCAATGCGAAATAAAATGCTGTGCTTCTAAAACTGTCCTCCAACCGTAATTGCTACACACTCTCTATAAGAGACGAAGGTTTGATCCGAAGCACTTCAAGTTCAAAACCTAAAGTAAGTGGTAGACTTCTATTTTCACTGTGAAATTTGCTGCCCGGTTTCTTAACCAGTTCTCCTATCGCCATACCTACATGCTTTCTATAAAGAGCCAAGGAGGCACATCGAGTTCAGGAATGATAGTGTTAAATGATATGCAAGGTGTCCCACAAGATACGAGACACCCCCTTAACTACTTTGTTTTTTTTCGTAGAAAAAATTCCATTCAACTTGGTATTTTTCTATATTATTATTTTTTTTTAATTATCCAGATAACGAAGATATCGAACTCAACTTCTTTATTTTAAATTGGAGTACCTATTTTTCCTTATGTAATTTAAAAACTACGATTTTTTAAATGAATTTTCGTTTTGCTTTCAGATCTCTATAAATTTTTCACGGATGGGCAAGACCGTTAGGAGGTGTCTCGTATCTGGTGGGCCACCCTGTTTAAAAATAATATTTAATGCATATTGTACCAAATACAAAGAAGTATTTCTATATAATAGAAGAATTGAAGTTCGATTCGCTGCTGTGCTTCAAAAACTCCCATCTGGATGCCTACACGCTCCCTCTAAGAAACCAAAGCAACTCGGGTTCAAGACTGAAAGTAAGTTGTGGTTAGTAAACTTGAAATCCCACTGTAAATTTCACTGTCCCACAAACATCCTCCCACACGCTCCATATAAAGAGCCAAGACGTTCAGTGAGGCACACTGAGTTCAGGAATGAAAATAAGTGTTAAATAATATATAAAAATAATAGTTAATACGGATTGTATTAAGCACTACCATAATTTCGAACAAATTTGAATAAATTTTTGTGTTTATAGACTCATACATATTTTATATATTTTATACGCGTACAAAAAAAAATGTTTTGTTTTAAATTATGAGAAAATTTAATTTGTACATTTTACATTGATTACATACAACGTATATACTATAATGTGTTTAAGTTTGTATAGTGTGGGCCATATATGGTCCATACTGGAGTGTTGTCAAATTAGGATTTTTTTTTAATTCTTCAGCTTTCATGAATTAAAAGGAAAACTTTAATGTATGCATAAACGTGCATTTCAGTTCATGGAGCAAATTCATGAGAGCAACGACAGGAACGAGTCTGCGTGTCTACAATGAAATACAGGCAGATAAGTTTTGTTTTTTGTCAAGTCAACTTATCTTCACAATGATTAGCATATTCAATTGACACGTGTATAAACTGTTAACTGACAGTTGTATAACTTCAAATGGGCATTTTCCCATTTGGATTTATGTTCCTGATTCAATATAAAATCGGATAAACTTTGTACCTTTTTTTCATGTTTTTAAAATAATTGACCTATGTTCCTTCGATAAGGGTCTCGACCCTGAGAGTTACGAGGAGAGGATCGTAATGACTTAACACGAATATCAACCAGATCTCATCAATTGTCTCGTCAATCGTCGAGATAAGGCAAGTAGATTTATTTATCGTCTTATAGTTTTTTGTTTCTTTTTCAACAGATATTTGCGTTCTTCGGTAGATCCCTTTTCCCGTTGCCCCCACCAGGAAAGAGGGAACCCCCTACTCGGAGGAAAATTATTTCTCACCGACTATCGTTCCAGTAACAGTCAAAGAACGGGTTTTGGGTACGTCTTAACGTTTCTAACGTTCGCTTCAGAATGGAATGCAGCACGATTTTCCTCTGCGTCTTCCTCCTCCTCTCAGCCATCGGACTCCTCCAGAAAAAGAAACTGGCCACGTTCTTCAGAGACATGCAGTGAGTCAATAACAATTTTGAAAATAAAATTTAGCAGAGAGAACCGACATCTCTGAAAAACGCCGGGAAACTTTCTCTAATAATTCACTAACTTTTTCTTTTGCACATTATAACTTCTTAACTATATAAAATAACACAGTTTTTAATTACCCATTCATGGTTAAATATTACTACGCATGATAACCAATAAAACAAATCTTAAATGGCTAGATTTGCCTAGATTAGTTTTTTTTTTGTTTTTTTTTTTCTAGAACGTTTCTAGTCCCTTGAAAAATATAGACTCATGGGCTAGAAACGAAAGTCCGCTTTTGCTATCTTGTCTCACGACAAAATAAATATTTAAAAAAAGTCTGTCTTATCTGTCCCGCCACGAGTTTTGACACCTGCAATAAAATGTCATGTCATTAGACGCCGAGTCTTGACCGTACCCAATGACACGACTGTCGTCGAAAAAGAATGAATGACAGCGCTTGATATTCTGAAAACAAGTACAAATACGGAAAAATACATTTGCATACTTTTTTTCATTCGTCCTTTTGTTTAATTATAATTAACGTCGATTTGACAAAAAAACAAAACAAGATATCTTTACTCCTGTACCTAGTACAAAAGACGTACTTCACATTGCCTGTCAAATTTGAGCTGAGTACACAATACCAAGACAATTCAACTTTAGTTTTTATCATAAAAAATTTCATATCAAATTTTGTTCAATACATTATTCAAACCTCAAACTAAATAGACACAATTCAACCTGAAGCATTGGACGTTTCTTGAGTACGTGCGTGCATTAAAGTGAATTTTGTTTTTTTAGATGCATATTTCATAAATACCTAAGATAATGTAACGTACGCAAAAATATAACAAGGCGCACACCAAAAAAGCCAATAAAACACACTCACCCACTCATATGAGGTCCGAAGTCGTCGAAATGTACAATTTGCTGCAAGTGCCTTTAATCAGTTATAGAAATAACGATAGTTTGTATAAACCAAATCGCAGACTGACTTATGGTTTAATGCAAATAATGGCACATTGTTAAAAATATACGTTTGTAGATAAATACATAAAATATTTACAATATATGTAAATAAAAAAATATACATATAACACGTAAACATTTTTTCTCCCTCCCTCTCTCTCCCCCTCCCACTCCCCCCTCTCGCTCTCGCTCTCTCTCTCTCTCTCTCTCTCTCTCTCTCTCTCTCTCTCTCTCTCTCTCTCTCTCTCTCTCTCTCTCACCACCTCTCCATCAATTCCTCTCTCCCTCTCTTCTCCCCTATCTAACTCTCTGTTTATCTATTTCTCTCTATTTGTCTCCCTCAGTCTTTCTCATTGTCTCTTTCTTTTTGCTCTCTCTCTCCACCTCTCTCTCCCTTTCCTCCTCTCTCTCTCCCTCTCCTCCTCACACTCTCTCTCTCACCACCTCTCTCTCCCCCTCTCCCTCACCTCTCTGTCAATTCCTCTCTCCCTCTCTTCTCCCCTATCTAACTCTCTGTTTATCTATTTCTCTCTATTTGTCTCCCTCACTCTTTCTCATTATCTCTTTCTTTTTGCTCTCTCTCTCTCTCTCTCTCACTCTCTCTCTCCCTCTCCCTCCCTCCCTCCCTCTCTCTCTCCCCATGGGAGCAGGTAGTATTAGTAAAAGGGTGAGGGGTAATAGGGTATAAAAGAGAATTTACATATAGCTAAAACAAAGGCAATTTTTTTTAGTTACATATTAAAGGTATTAATAAATAAATAATACATCACTAATTGGTCCAAACAGATATTATATGTTTTCTTGGAAAAAATGTTTATTTTTCAACTCCATTTAGTTTTATTCAAGCAATGATAATACCTGTTCAAACGAGACTTGGAGACTTGGACCATCTTGAATTTATTTTAGATAAGTTTATTCAAATATGAATATATTATTGTGTGATTTTGATCATCATTTGATATGATTTTGTTTCATGATTGTTGACAAATCAAACTGCTTTGTTTCACTTCAAAAACACAATATTTATGCTGAATAATGCAGAAAACGCAATTTCATTCTGGCAATTTACTAAGCGTTAATTATTGTAATCAGTAATATTTTTTTAGAAACTTATCTCTTAAAGATAAATACAACTAAACCTAAATTAATAGAAAAACACTTTTTTTCTGTCTTTTTTATGACTGATATACTATATCAAAAATATATTGTTCAAGTGTGTAGTCTATGTTTAATGTTCATGTTGTTTTATTGCATTTATTTTTAATACAGAAATCGTATGTTGTCTGTATTTTCTTTTCCTGTGATCAATCTATCTGATTTGGTATTTCTTTAATAAAAAAAAAACTGAATACGTTATTTAATTATTTGCTTAATTAATTGGTAACAACGGTAAAAAATCCACTATTTCAACAAAAACAATTGTTAGAAAATAACATTAATTACAGGACTGACTTATCTTTTTTTTCATTTTTTCTTTATATATTTGGGGAAAAAAATATATTTTACAGTACAGTGTATTTCAAGATTGTGTAAAATTGGAAGGGAAAAATGCAAAGTAAGTTATTATTAAGCTATCTCTTCTCAGATCTATCTCATATATGAGAAAAAGTTAAAAAAATCACTATTGAAGAAAATATTTTTGAGAGAACAATTACCTTACTTATTACTTAATCAAGTAGCCCAAGGGGTCAATCATTGATGTTGTGTCATGTTTTCAATGGCCTCTAATTCTCACGGTAAATATAATTTATTTCTGTTATAATCAAAGGTATTTCAGTTTTGTTTTTTCATACATATCAAAACTGGAATTTTCTAATTTGCTGGCCAATTTGAAAGTGGCAAATAAATTGTACCATAAATGTACCTTTGTAAATTTTCAAAGAATACTTCTTTTGACCTACCCCTCATGTTGATATTTATGCTGAACCGGACAGAAATTAAACCTAAAATCATTCAGGTTGTAAAACAAATTTAAAAAATATAGATAAACATGAAAAGCAGCATTAGATAAAGAAACGTAATTCTGACGTGATCCTATTCTGTGCATAGGTAGTGTAGTGCATAGATAACGTGAGGAAAATTTAAACAATGAAAAAATGAGTTAATTATATTAAAATTAATCACCATTGTGAAATGATGAACACATATTTTTTATTATGCTAGACTTTCCTGCATTATTTGAAAGTACAAAATTGCTAGTGTTTTACGACAGAGGAAACACTTCTACTTTACATAAATACATGTTAATAAAATTTCTTCATAGAAATGAACAGAACAATTGTACTAATTAAAATAATTATTCAATTGAAAACAAAATTAGTTTAATAAATTAATTACACAAAGTATAATAGTTTTGTACAATACCTTATGCCTTCCATGCCTTTGCGAAAATTAAAAACACCATAAACTGCTCAAAAATAAATAGGGATATTGCCAATTTTATAGTATTTACTTTTCCTAGCATTTTTATTTTATTTTCATTACAAATTGCATTAAAATTCATTAGAAATTATTGTTTTTTTACTGAAGGAAAATTTAGTTAAGGTATTTTGCAAAATAATTTTTTTTAAACAATTAATACCGTATATAACGTCCTCTGTTACTAGTAGTCATAAAGACCCAACAGCCTCATTCAATTGTTGGATTTACATGTCCACCATCCCAATTCACTTGGTGGGAGAAGTGTTTTTATATACCCACAGCCTCATACAATTGTCCTGACAAGCCTAACATCTCTATGCAATTGATATGAAGTGCGATTTCCATACGATTCCACGCCATTACAAATACAAAATACATACATTTGTTGGCAGAGGGGCAATTTCAAACCCAATATCCCAATATATTTGATGAAAGAGGTTTGATTATATACTAAACACCCTTACAATTTATGGTTCGATAGTACGTATCATCTTGGTCTGCCTATCCTCACTGATTTGAAAATCCCGACTTAATCCATCAAATGCATTGACAAAAAAAAAGGTAATAATGATGAAGACCCCCACCATCCAAGACATCGTAACTAAAATTTGACTCCAAAGAACTCATCTAAACTCAATTCTGAAGATGGAAAAATGCGGAAATGCATCTGACAGACAAAATCAGCGAAGATGAGCAGATCAAGATAATAGGTAAATGTCAAACTAAAGCTCATCACCCGCAAGCCTCGGAAGGAAATCATTCGACCGTTACATGTTGCTACATATTACAAACACAATACATACAATTGTTTGGATTGCAAACCCTACAGTTCAATATACATGTATACAGCCAACAACCTTACACCATTGTTTGTATTGCAAAACCAACAACCCCATACAATTGGAGGCTGCGATAGTATTATAAAACATAATTTCATATACAGTTTATTGGTATCAGTGGGAGGTTCTAAACCCAACATTCTTATAAAATTAGTTGACAAGTTGCTGCTATACATTCAACTTAACCTTGCGCAGTGGCAATATCGTAATCAATGAAGTTCTACTGAGATGCGATTATTGCTAGTTGAAAACTATACATTCAACTTTCTTGTACAATTATTGAAATTATAAACCCAAAATTCCTATACAATTGGTTTGGAGAGTTGCTAGTATATACCCAACATTCTCGTAGAGTTGTTGGCATTACTAACTAAACAACTCAATATATTTGGTGGGAGTACGCAGTACACATGCCTAACATACCCATACTATTGGCCACTGGGAATAGAAATCTGTGAAAGCACAAATTCAAGTTTGAAAATATAAATCCATTTATACTATAGTGGTCAATTGACCTAGTTACTTATTTCAATTAATTTGAAAATATAGTTTTTTTTGCAATATTAATAGCCACTTATTTTGGCTTTACAAATTTGCACTGCCAATTTTATCCAAAAAATTGTGAAGGTTGCCAGGTGATGAATAATTTGGTCCTCTCTGAACATTTAGGTTGGTCAGACACGTTCCGAATTGTCTTCAGTGGAGGGTTGTAACTAAAATTATTATAAAAAAACTGAAGATGTCGAGAAGCCAAAACGTACCCAAAAACAACTTAACTCCACTATCATCCTTGTTCTGTTTTTTCAATACTTTCAGCCTATTTTTCAACGTGAATATGTGTATAGCTTTTCTCAGTCAAATTAACTCTTTTTAAATTGAAATTAACCATTTTTAAATTCAAATTAAATATCTCTAACTCTAACTCCAAATTAAACTTTTTTAAATTTCAAATTAACCCTGTCTTTACAATATCAAAAACCTAGAAGGTAGTATGAAATTTAAACATGTAAAATAAAATTCCTGTTTTTTTGTGTGTTTTTTTTTTTATATAGATAAAATAATTGGGCTCTTAGAGGAATAATTGTGAAATAAACTGTGTGAATAGGAATAAACCTTGGAAAATAAAGTGGACTGTGTAAAAAGTTAATTTTCTTAAATTATGTGAAGTAAAGTCACAGTATTTATGTGTTTATAGCTTATTCTTGAGGTTTAATTTTTTATCTTCATACCATAACATCATTTTGCAGGTAATAAAATCTTATCAACTCATAATTTATATAGCATAACAAAATATGTTTTTACAAATTCTATCGTCTTGACACATTCCACATTTTCTGTATGAAAATATATGCTATAATAAGTTATATTCGTTGAAAAATTATTTAAAGTATTGAAATATAAGTTGCCAGGTGGGATGAAATGGTATTGTATGTTTATGTATCTGGTCTAAAAGATACTCATTATCTGAAGTTGAAAATGGGAAAACAATGAACAGCAAAGTATAACTGTTTTAACTCAACCTCATTTCTAGTACATTTTATTACAGTATGCTTTTCATTTTTTCTCCTTAGTTGTTTATACCACACTTTGAATCATAATTATTATGGTTTAATAGGCTATGTAAAATTATTCAGTTTGCTTAATTTAGATCTTTGAATTTGATTATAATATCAACAGAATATTTGTTTTCCTATTATTATAATTACTACTTTTTGTCTTAATTAGTACTATTGTAATAGGGATTATTTTCCGTTTGGATGGGAAAAATGTGATGTCTCTCACACTTTTTATTAATTAATTAAGTAAACAATACATTCCAATTATTTTAAGCCTTCATTTTTTTGTTTGATGTTTTAATTTGTGCTTTTGTTATTCTCATGTCTTTATTATAAAAACTGTAAGAAAAAAAATTATTGTTTTGAGCAATAGCTGATGTTTTCATCTATGATAAAGTTGAAAAGGTTCTTAATTCAAAACTTCTTTATATACAAAATACCCCAAATATTCATACAACTGAAAAGGAATGTTTTAACAAGCAATTTAATTGTACGAGTGTAATTTTGTAGTAAAGTGTAAAATAATTTTTTGCAAATTTACTCCTTGTATATTAGGCCGAATTGTTTTCTTCCATGTACTTTATATACATTTTATTTGTTGTTTAAGGATATTAACTTGGTATTAATTTTTTTTAAGCCAGCATTGCATTTGTTTATGGTATATATGATTTACATTCACCCCTGAATTTTTTTGTCTTAAGCGTTATATTGAAAATGTGTCATTCTTTTTATGAGATACACATTCAGAAGTGAAGAAAAATATTTTGGATTTGGACAATTTAGTTTTGTTCGATTATTTGCTGATGGCAGGGTATTTGATTGGTCATGAGCACAAGATGTGAACAAATATANTTTTTTGGGGGGGGGGTCTGATACTTTACAGAACACATCTAACAGAATAAAACTCAGGTTAAATCACTAAAGAAGGTGAACCCATGAAGCATGAAAGTGTAAACCAGGATGCTTGGAAATGTTAAAACAAACCACCAATGAGGGTTTGTTTGATGTTTTGGGTTAATAATGATAAAATAACAAAGCCAAATCACTGAAGAAGGCTAACTGTCAAATACCAGAATAGCTAGGATAAGTAGACTAAAAGAGCCATAAATGACTTAATTCTTAACCATCGCTAATTCTTGGTTCACCTTCCTTGAGACCACAATAAGACACGTTTATACACAACTTTACGTTTTCTTATACTCTTACTTTGAATTTGTTACAGTCTAGTTTTGAACGTAGGCTATGTGATTATCTCCCAGAAATGGTACGAGTACAAGAACGAGACGATAATCGACGTTTTTCAGAGAGTTGTGGCCAAGGATCCGGAAAAGGTCGCATTGCGGCATCTTGATGAAAGCTGGACCTTTTGGAAACTTGAAGAACTGAGCAACAGGATTTCAAGGTAAAATGGAATTTTGTTTTCCTATTGTGTGTTTATCAACAGGTGCCAGTTGTATTGTGTGATGCCTTATGTATTAAGTAAATTTGTGCATATTTGATAAGAACGTGCACTTTGATGAAAGCGCTTTTTATTTTCAATTTTTCTTTATATTCTCAATTATGTTAAATTGTGAATTTTACATAAAGCCTTCATAAAAATTCCTCTAATACAATAATAATAATAATATGGTAGTGTATTTACAATGTTAGACATTTTACAGGGTTTTTGACTCGATGAACTACAGCAAAGGCGACTGTATTGCCCTTATGATGGATGGATGCCCAGACTATGTTGCCTGCATACTGGGTGTTGTAAAAAATGGTGGGATCACTGCTCTTGTAAACATAAATCAGAACAGAGAAGTTTTGAGGAGGAGCATTGAGACGACCAACGCTAAGGCACTTATCTATGGTACCAACTATACCGAAGGTGATTCAAAAATAATAATAAAAATTTGCACATTTTAATGGTTTTTAATTTATATCTGGTTGAGTAGTATTCAATTGTTTTAAGTCAAATTTATCAATAAGATCAATCTTTTAAATTTATCACAGTGATTTCTGAGATTGCTTCGAGTTTGAAAGTGGATTTCTACCATGTTGGAGAAGGCATGGCTGTTCCTGGCTCCAATGATCTGAAGAGTATTTCTGAAAATTTCCCATCAACACCTATGGTGCAGAAGATAAAGGCAAGGAAGCACACAGAGCCGTTACTGTACATCTTCACATCTGGGACAACTGGATTACCAAAAGCGGCTATCATCACTCACGCTAGATACTTTATGATGACCCTCGGTGTCAAACACTCTTTTGGTAAGATGAGCATTTGTAGTAGATATTTAAATTTAATTAAACATTTGAAATAATTTTGAGATGACATGAATGAGAGATAACAAAATATGTCAAGAGAATCCACCCCATGACCATCTATGACAAACCGAAAGGTGATGCCCTGTTTGGCAGTCTGCTTAAATGTTTAATGATAATTTTCAAACTTCACATCAGTAAACGTTTCAAGATTTTAATTATTTTTATAACAACAAACCAAAATATGGTTCATAATTTTGACATTCTACCTGTTCTATTTCATTGATTTTACTTTTAAGGGATTAAGAAGGAGGATGTAGTTTACACTTCCTTGCCACTCTACCACACTGCAGGAGTTATTCTTGGAGTTGGTCAGGCACTTCTTGGTGGCTCGACTGTTGTCATCAGGTCCAAGTTTTCAGCAACAAATTTTTTTTCTGATTGCATCAAATACAAATGCACTGTGAGTGTAATTTTTCAACTATAAATGTTAGATATTTATTTTATTTTTTTTTAATATTTAGGTAGCTCAGTACATTGGTGAAATCTGCAGGTACATTCTTTGTACGCCAGAATCTGAAGTAGACTGTGCCCATTCAGTGAGGTTGATGTTTGGCAATGGTCTTAGGGCTGAGGTGAGAATGTTTTTTGTTTACGCATCATTGCTTTTTATTTTTTATACTGGATATGGCAGGTTTGGGAGCAATTTGTGAAAAGGTTCGGTGTGAAACAAATAGGCGAATTCTACGGATCAACTGAGGGGAATGCAAACATCAGTAAGTTTTTCTTTTCTTTTATATTAATTGTACTTATGAAATTCACATTTATCTTCTTTGTAGTAAATGCATGGAATAAGATTGGTGCGGTGGGCTACGTTCCTTGGTTTGCCCGCCGATTCCATTCAGCGGAACTTGTCTTGGTTAATGAGGAAACAAAAGAGCCTTTGCGGAACTCTCAAGGCTTCTGCCAGAAGTGCAAGCCGGGCCAACCGGGAATCTTCATCGCAAAAATTTCCAAATCCAAGGTGACAAGCCATTTTAACGGCTATGTCGATAAGGAAGCCACAAAAAAGAAGATTCTTGAGAATGTCTTTGAAAAGGGTGATAAATGGTTTAACTCAGGCGATGTACTCAGTAAGGACGAATACGGCTACATGTACTTCAAAGACAGAACTGGGGACACTTTCAGGTATGTAAGATCAATTTTGTTTTTTACACAAATGCAATTTTAATCTTTTTATTTTAAGGTGGAAAGGAGAGAACATCGCTACTACTGAGGTTGAGGGTGTCGTTACAAATATTATAGGCCAGAAGGATATCACAGTATATGGTGTCAATGTACCCAGTACTGAAGGAAAAGCTGGAATGTTAGCGATTGTTGATACAGAAAAACAACTTGACCTAGATAACCTCTACAAAGGACTGGAGAAAAATCTCCCCTCGTATGCAAGGCCAATTTTTGTACGAGTAATGGAAAAATTACCCTTTACAGGTATTATTAATTTTAATTGTAATTATCAGACACTTGGAAATTAAACAGTTTTATAATAATTTAAAAAAATTTCAGGTACTTTTAAAATCCAGAAGAATCAAATACAGAAAGAAGGATATGACCCTTCAAAAGTAAAAGATCCGATATTCTTCCTTGACGTACGATCAAAGAAATTTATACCTCTTGATGAAAAAGTTTATGAGGATATCCTGAATAATGTTGTGAAACTATGAAACTAGACGAGTTGATATTGAAAAATTTGAAACAAATTCTAGTCTAGTAGTAGTTGATGTATTTTGTATTTTTCAGTCAACTGAAACTTACTAAATGTCACATGATATATCTTTATTTTATTACTACTATAAAGGGATAGTTGTGATGCTTTATTCAAAGGTTTTTCAGTGTATTTCAAATAATTATTTGCTCAAAACTAATGTAAAAAAAATTTACTGTGCAATGAACTGTGACCAAGTCTAATGTAAACATATCACACTGCAAACTGTCTAGAAAATGTTATATTTAAAAACAAATTAATATAATTTTGTATATAAACTATAAAAGCATATTCGACATTGGGTTTGTATAGTAACTTCTTTCAAGACCATCCTTGTATGATAAGTTAGTATGTAAGACCTTGCATTTAAGCCAGTTAGATCTAAAATATTAAAAAATATTTTGATGGATATTTTCTTAATCCTGATTAAACAATAGCTATTCATACCATTTATAAAAATAAAAATAATTATTACATATATTTTCCTTACTTTGCAGTGGTTGAAATAAAACTTATTGGGTGAGGATTCAGTTTATCAATATGTCACATGCATTCCACAGATTCCAGCATTGCCATAAGACTTTACAACCCCTTGCCTAACAGTCAAACCCAGACTCACATATTGTTCATATACAGGGTGTCCCAGTTCCTTCTGACAAAACTCAGGGAATCGATTCTACTCTTCGTTTGGAGCAAAAAATGCTCAGGAGAAAATTTTCGGAAAGTTCTCTATTTTGAAGATATTCGTCAATTTAGGTTTTTTCAACTTTTCACTATCTTACCACATAAAAACGCTTACAACTTCCAAAATGTTGAGACTACAACAAATTTCAATTACACCATTTGAAAGAACGCTAAATTTGCTGTATGATACTTCTTTGCAATAATCTGGATGACATAAAATGTTAGCCAATATCAGTTGGAACATGTCAAAATTTAAAATTTTGGTCATGATTGCACGCTCTACTAAGGTTACAAAAACATACCTACAACTTGTCAAATTTTACAAAAACTTCTTCATCTAATATGCTTTACGTTGATATATCCAGGTTTTTAGATAACGTTCTAGTAGTTGAAAAATAACAATTGAATGTTCGAAAACGTGAGCTAAGGTAAATTTGAAGGGATTCTGATGAAGGGCGAGAAATAGCCTGTATTGTTACACAAAAAGGATATATGTTTTTGAAATGAATTAACCTTTTGTAAAAGAGTCAAAAGCCACGTACTACTTCAAATAAACCCCATGAAAAAAAAAATCCATTTCGGAAGAAAGAAAAAAAAAGGAAAAATGTATATAATAATCAACTAGCTTGAAATTTACATTATTAAAAAAAAAAATCCAAAATAGGCAGATTAACCCTTTCTTATTTATTTTTATTATTATTCTATTATCAGAATAATAAAGGAAAAATGTATATAATAATCAACTGGCTTGGAATTTACAATAATTAAACAAAAATATATCAAAAAATCCAAAATAGGCAGATTAACCCTTTTTTGTTTAATTTTTACTGTTATTATTATTCTATTATAAGAAGAAAAACGGAAAAATGTATATAATAATCAACTAGCGTGGACTTTAAAATAATTAAAAAATCCAAAATAAGCAGATTAACCCTTTTTTGTTTAATTTTTATTGTTATTATTATGCTATTATAAGAAGAAAACAGGGAAAAATGTATATAATAATCAACTGGCTTGGAATTTACAATAATTAAAAAAACATATTTATCAAAAAATCCAAAATAGGCAGATTAACCCTTTTTTGTTTAATTTTTATTATTATTCTATTATAAGAATAAAAAAAGAAAAATGTATATAATAATCAACTGGCTTGAAATTTACAATAATTAAACAAAAATATATCAAAAATCTAAAATAGGCAGATTAACCCTTTTTTTTGTTAATTTTTACTGTTATTCCATTATAAGAATAATAAAGGAAAAAATGTATATAATAATCAACTGGCTTGGAATATTTACAATAATTAAAAAAAATATATATTAGCAAATCCAAAATAGGCAGATTAACCCTTTTTTTTTTGTTTAATCTATATTATTACTATTGTGGCATTTAGTGAACGTTAATTTATGATTATTACTTTTTTTTTTTTTTGTAATTTCTGATATTTTTGCAGCATAACATTTACATAAGTATGTAGGATTTTTTTTTTATGACGTGTATATAAAAAATATGATTGTCCACATTACCTTTTGGATTGATAGACCGCCCGTTCTTATCTGTACGATTATTCGTCGAGTTTTTTTATATATTTGTTTAATGTTTTTTTTCTGTCTATATTATTAGATAATTGTTAGTTTTTACCGTTCGGTGTTAGTAGTGAGCTAGTTGTGTTTTTATTTAAAAACGGAGAAATTAAGACAACGCGAGAATAGGCAGACCCATTATAATTATATAAATGATGACGGTGGGGGTGAGTATGTAGATTCACGTGATGGTCCAACTCACAGAAATTATGACTCGATTGTTATGTAACCAGTTTCTTGTTTAATTTAATTTATAATACATTTTGAAATTGTTTTATTATATCCTAATATATTTTTATATCGAGTTTTTTAGTGTAAATTGATACTTTTTTTTTCTACGTTAAATGGCATTAGTGAGATTGAAAAGGCGGTGGTTTTGTTTGCGAGCTTTCGAGCCCAGTCGCCATCTTGTTCGGCCGAAACGAAGTGCGAAGCGTCTCCGGTACTTTCTCAACCCGAAGCCCGCCGCGTTTTCCGCCGGGAGTCCCCGTTCTGCCGATACTCGTACGCAATACCCTTTATACAGGGTGTCGCGAGTTTTTAGTAACAACGACTCGTGTGTTCTTTTAAAACTCCGATAAAAGCCAAGATCTGGAAAAAAAAACAGTAACGTAAGATGCGATGAACTTTTTTTAACCTGTTATTCAAGGGAAAAGTGCCGTTCAGTGAAATAAAGTCGAAATAGTTATTCGCACCTTCCAGTGTATCCCTCAGCCTGAAAAAGGAGGTAAGAAAAAGCTTGTAACTTTAAGGGTTATTTTCTTTTAAGAGGGCGGCCTACGCCATTTAAATACTCCACGTTTTACTCCACTCCCGTGGCGTGCCTTGCTCATCTCTCGAAAGGGCGAGAATTTCAAATTTCAAATAGTCTTTGGAAATAAAAAGATCCATTTCCACATTCCCGTACATTTTAATGGAAGCGGTAAAATTCTTGAGTTTTCTAATTTTAGAAGTAATCCTACCCTAACCGATACTTTAGATCAAAAATGTTCATACAGCCTGTGTTTAAATATTTAAGAATATACCAAACCAATTTTTTGTTTTCCCCAGGGTGAAGACAGATCCCGCCTTCAATTTGTGTTCGGATAATGAGCGACTATTCCTCCGTAGCACCTCCGCAGAATTTCAACAAGAGTCAGGCATTTGCTGCCGCTTTACAACGTGCAAAACAGGTAAAAATTGAGGTTTCTAAACTTGCGATTTACATTAGCTTAGTTTTTTTTATACAAAATATTTTGTTATACCTGGTTTAATATAACTGTTTCACATATCTGATCATCCTGTTCCGCGTACATTGATACACTTAAGCCCTCCATGTCTGACAGGCAAATCCGGTGTTTCTTCTAGGAGGATCAGGATGACCAGAAATGATCAAACTAGGAAAAAATATTTGTAGAATTTTATGATACATCATGATAAATCTGAGACATACCAGCATTGAAGATGGCCAAAACGACGTAGGTGCTAAATGGTTGGTGCAAAATTAATGCAGGTTTTGAAAATTGTTTTATTTTCACAAGTGCTTGTCATTTAAACAAAGCCAAATCATATTTATGGATTGTAATAAATACTTTTAACTGTTAGTTTTTTTACAAAACATTTTAGTATATTGAATTTTATAAGAGTGAGGACCTCCAAAATTAAATATGTCCAAACTTGGTATTAATCAAATTTAGTAGGCCAAAACCTTGCTTAACATGAATACAGTTTGGGGGTTGCACTAAAATGCACGGTGCAGCGATGGTTTCAAAGAAGGCCATTTCAATTTCAAAGAAAGAGAAGATCGCTGTGGTAGGTGTTTCATTGTGGATGGCGGCCAACTCAAAATGTTGATAGAAGAAAATTCACATAAGACAACAGGGGGAGTTTCGGAAGAGCTTAGTGTTGACCACTCAACTGTTGTTAGCCATCCGGAGCAAATTGGTAAAGTAAAGAAGCTCGACAAGCCGGTGCTGCACAGACTAATCGAAGCCCAAAGAAACCAATTCTGTAAAATTTGCATGTCTTCTGCTGTGCCACCTGAAATCAAATCTGCACCCGAAAAAGGTATAATTGTTATGTTAAAAAATACAATTGTTTGGTGGTGTACTCCTGGGTTGTTAACTATAATTTCCTGAATTATGGTGGCACTATCACAGCACAGAAATATTGCCAAGAAATTGACAAAATGCACGGGAAACTGCAATAGACTGCCTAGCATTGGTAAACTGTAAGGGGCCGATTCTTTTCACAATGACACCAGGCCACATGTCACAATGCCAACCCTGAGAAGAATATGAAACCTTGCCAAACCTGACCTCTCGCCGTCAGACTTCCACGTTTTAGGCATTTTGATCACTTCGCGAGGGAAAATTTTTTTACAGAACGCAGTGAAGTTGATCCAAGACTTGTGAGCTGAAATAAAGATTTTTATGCCTGCAGAATAAAACTGCTTATTACACATTGATAAAGATGTATAGATAGTGATGGAAAATATTTCAAATAAATTTTCTTTATTTTATAAAAATTAAAAATAGTTTTGATTGCCATTTCAAAACCTGCATTATTTTTGCACCAGCCCAATATATACAACCAACAAAAATAAGCAATAAAAACTTAAACAGTATACTGCTTCTATGAACTTAAATCTAAAAGAAAAGAGAGTAGACCCATGATACCACACTGCATAGAGGTAGGGGTAAGCTGGATATCACTCTTGATACCTCCATAGAGGTATGATTGACCATGATGTCACACTCTAGTACCTGCATAAAGGTAGGTACCAAGGTCCTACCTGCTCCCAATGTCTTGGGGAATAAAGCGTGATGTGCTGACAGTCTTGAATGAGTGGCCAAGTTGACATTGTCGACGCCCATGCTAGTAAAGAAGGGAGGGATGTTGGCATATAATTGACAATTACAGTCAACATTAACACAGTGATTCATCATTAGGAGGCCCAACATTCAAATCTCAGAGGCTTTTGTACATCCAGATGGGCTGTTTTGGTGGAAAGATTAAATATGGGTCGAGGGTACGAGTGAAGGACTATTGGTGTCTCTTTCCGGCAGTAACTTTGTTAGTTGCATCCTTTTATAAAATATCCACACCTCAGAATCTTAATGCATTCACTGCAAATGACACCACAGTTTCATAAGGTAGTTGATGCCACAATGGCGTCAAAGCTCTCAGTCCCGCGGTGCATTTATTAAATTGGCCCCACTGCCTGAAGATGACGAACGGCCAAAGAGTGTCTGGCAGACACAACCAGTTATAATTCAAATTACAGTAACATTGTAAGATATTTTGAGGTCTGGGATGATTTTGTAGCTTGGTCACTTTCGACCATTTTAGTTGTCCTGGTCTCGCTGTTTTGGCCTGTCAGGTTTTAATGCAATATAGTCGTAATTTGTCCTTCAACACAATTGACGAGCGCAATATTTTCAGCACCCTGGTTTGTCATCCTTAGGGTATGCATTTAGTTGTGCGATTGAAAATTAGAAATAGAAACCAAACAGTACATAGTTATGGCTTTGTTTAGTTAAAACTTATTAATTGGGTTTTTGAGGAAAAACTACCAGTAAAAAAATATTAATTTTCTCATACAATTAATTGAAAGGAACTTTTTTTTAAATAATTATAAATTGGCTTGTAATTTGTCTACCCTTCCTTGTTGGGTCAGTTTGTCAGACGTGTTTAGGCATTTTAACATCTTCAGTATTGGGTCTTGAAATTATATAATTTTGATTCGAAGCTACTAGAGAGTAATAGTGTACTTCTGTTTACAGATAGCTGCTAAAATTAACCCGGGTGGTGGTGACGGCGGCACCAAGAGACCGTTGGAAGATTGTGGCCCAGGTCAGTTCTAAGGACCGCAAATCCGTTGAGAGAACATCTTTCAGAAACTTTGCAAATTGTAATTTTCCAGAGCCAGAATCAAAGAAGTTGGCGTCAAGACTTGACTCAAGCCCTCCTCAGGGTAACCGTTCCTCTGGGCCTCTCCTCCCTCAGATGGCACCCCCTGCATTGGCACCACCTGGCTTAGGAGGTCCTGTTACCTCCGAAGACATCAAAGTCCCAGATAAAATGGTCGGACTTAGTAAGTAGCAGCCATTGCTATATAAAGTATGGCTTTTGTGTTAATTGTTGGTTTGTTTCAGTTATTGGCCGTGGAGGTGAACAGATCACAAGGCTTCAAAGTGAATCTGGATGCAAGATTCAGATGGCACCAGATTCTGGTGGAATGCCAGATAGACTTTGCACACTTACAGGAAATGCTGCTGCCATTGGGTATGAAATACCATTTAAAATACATTGCCATGATATTTTTAAGATAAAACCCCTTATGATGATTTCCGAATATCATCCTTGCTCGTAGATCTGCCACGGCGGAAGTGACATGACAACAGGCCTCTCTATTTTCCCGAGGAAAATAGGGATCTGAAGGGGTTGAAATTATATTTGTTATATCAATCTGATACTTCACAAGATTTTAAAATATTATTTTATAATTGATAAATGTTAACCATAAAATCAAAATATTTTGTGAATATTGAACATTGGTTTGATGTTTATAAGTATGTTTCATTTTTAAAGGAGAGCAAAGGAACTTGTAAATGCGATTGTGAATCAGAGGTACAAGACGGAAGGACCTGGTGGTGGCTCAGGTGCACAACGTGGACCGCCTATGGATGAAATGGCACCACAGCGACATCCTGGAGGAGGTGCCGGTGGTCCTTCTTTTGTTGAAGTGATGATACCAGGACCTAAAGTTGGACTTGTCATCGGAAAAGGTGGTGAAACTATTAAGATGCTACAAGAGAAGTCGGGTGCCAAAATGGTAGTCATACAAGAAGGGCCAAACCAGGAGGTTGAGAAACCCCTCCGCATAACTGGTGACCCTCTGAAGGTAGAACACGCTCGCACTCTTGTCTATGATCTGTTAGCGGAAAAAGAAAACCAGGTAATATATTTAAATATTTATTAAGGGGTGGATTTATCATTTATGTCTATTATTCAGCAACAACAGAGAGGAGGCGGGGGGCCAGGGAGAGGTGGTGCCAACAGAGGTGGCTACAACGAGCGAGGTGGTCAACAGCGTTTCCAAAATCGTGGTTCAGATGAGTCACAATTTGTGGTACCTGCCTCAAAATGCGGTGTAATAATAGGACGAGGAGGTGAAACGATTAAGCAAATCAACCAAGCAACAGGTGCTCATTGCGAGCTCGATCGCCGTCCTAACAATAATCCAAATGAGAAGGTTTTTGTCATACGTGGTACTCCTGAGCAGATTGAGGCTGCCAAACAAATGATTGGGGAGAAACTTGGTCAGGTGAGATAGAACACAGCTTATAAACAGAAAATTATCAAATATTATGATAATTATTTTTTTAGTCTCTTGAGGATACACGAGTGAGTGATTGTTTTCAGGGTGGTCCTGGGGCTAATGGAGGTCCTGCATATGGTGGCCCAGGAGGCCCTGGAAATCCTCAAGGAGGATACCCACAATCGTGGGCTCCTCCAGGCCCTGCTTATGCACAACCTTACCATCAACAGCATATGGACCCTTGTGTGTACAAATAATTTTTTTGTTTTTTGTTTAATAAAAGACTAATAATGTCATTTTTATTCAGCAGCAGGAATGGGGGCAATGGGAGGGCAAGGGCAAGCACAGCAGCCTGACTACTCACAACAATGGATTGAGTATTACCGCAGCATGGGAATGCATCAAGAAGCTGATGAGATCGAACTTCAAACAAAAGTGAAGGTATCAAAAATTCATCATACAAAAACTAAACCACCAAGGTTCCCATCATTATCATCTAGGGTTACTAATTTGTTTTCCTTTTTTTCTTTCTTTCTTTTTTTTCCTCTGTTTGTCCATAATTCATTTTTTGGAACAAAAAACTGTTGTGAAAAAAAATTTAGCAATCCGCTCAAGGGCCGCAGAACAATTCAATGCAGGGAACCGGAGGGTCTGCACCCGTTGCACCGAATAACCCGATTCCCGCACAGCAGAACAACGCAGCTCAGCCACTACAGAATGGGCAACCCGATTATTCTGCACAGTGGGCGCAATACTATCGCAGTTTAGGGAAGATAAAGGAGGCAGAACTGATAGAACAACAGATGAAAAACAAGGTGATTTATATTAAAATGAAACTGTTTCAATCAGGTATAACATGGATTATTATTTTAACAGCAGCAGGCAACAGGAGTTACGCAGATGCCAGTTGGTGCTCAGTCAAACCCAAATCCGCCTTCTTTCTCATACCAGCAGCCTGGAGGGTATCCATACCAACCGGTCGCATACCCTTACCAACCGACTGGTGGCTACCAGTACACGGGAGTTGCACAGCCTCAACAAAACCAGGATCAATGAAAAAAAGCACACAAATAAAGGTAAATATCTCTAATTGTATTTTTCTCCCTTTTAGGGCCAACTTTTTCAATTTTGGAAGTTCAAATTTTTATATTTAAATGCAATTTTAATATATACAATCTTTCCTGACTCTCATTGCTGAAAATGCATTGTGATTTCCAAAATTGAATATGGCAATACTAAGGTTTGTATTGTAATTTTAAAATTTTTTAAAATGATTTTTCAAAGGTTTTCTTTTTTTTCATATGCAATTTTTGTCTTTCTTGTGTCTGATTTCAGGTGTCTTTGTTTCAAAACAAACAAACTATAATAACCTAAAAAACCCATAAAATCTAAAAACACAGACATAAAGCTCATTAATGTCCTTATTCGTCTGATATATAATAATATAAAAAAAGAGAGATTACTGGATGTGTCGGACGTTTTTATTTTATTTGTCGAGCTCTTGCTATTTTTAATTTTTTTATATTATTATAAGCGGATCGGGAAACCCGAAAAATAAGGAGAAGATGGGCGAGCATCCAGGTTGTTATTCGCAAAATAAACCGAAGGATTGCGGATAACGAATAAAAACATACATAGTACAAAAAAAAAAAGGGTTTTTCCCGAGCTGGAGAAAAAGCCAAGTTTTCTTTTTTTTATACTTTCTCTTTTTTTATATACGTCATACTAATAGTAATAAATAGCCTGTTTTTATAGGATGTTTAAAAATCTATAATAAGTAAATTTTTGGAATCTTTAATATTTGAAAGAAACCAAATAACTTAAATATTTGCTTAGAGTAATAACAATACGTATAATTATTATGAATATAATTGTGAAACTGTGTGTATGTGTATTATTTGGTACTTCTTATTTTTAACCCATTTTTATTTTTATTTACTTTATTTTCTTTTTCATATATTTCATGGCGTCTCCCTCTTGCATTTTACATTCAATTTCTCCTTATTTTAAGTACGTAATAAAGTTAAATTAAACCGAGGTAAGTTGTACAGGCAATATTCGGAGAATTATGCGTCACAAAGTCTTCAGTGTGTACTTTTGCATCCAGGAAGTCTTTTATGGTAAAATTCTTTATCTTCCTTCCTCTCTTTCATTTATACTTTTAAGAGAGAAAAAGATTGATTTCTAGTCATATTTCTCACATGTCCCTCACATTTCTTATACTTAACTATGCATAACATGTTAAATAATGGATCAAATTTCATGGGTAATGTTTAAAAAAGGGGGGGACGCCTTCCTATGAACCCCATAGTTTTTATTCATTGATCAAATGACTCAAGGTAAGTTATTTTTTATCATACTATATTTTTTTAAACAAAAAATCAAAATTACTGATAATGCCAAATGTCTATATAATTTATGAATGATTATATATATGCCATAATGTGCCAGTTTCATGACATTTTCCATTTTATGTCTTTTGTATTCATGTTTTGATTTATATATATATATGATTTATACATATATGATTGTCTTATCTTATTGATGATATCTTGAATTTTTTTCTTTGAATGTTATATTGATGAAATTGTGTTCTTCTTATATTATATATATATTTTTATGTTTTGAATATATGTCCGTGCATTTCTTTACTAATTGATATATTTATAGAATACATTACGTGTTTGTCTTGTTTTTATTTTTTTACTGCTTTTGTGTATAAAACGGTTTCGGAGGCCCTGAAGTCTTTTATTTTTTGAAAACTGCTAATTCTCTCTCTCTCAAAATATCTTGTGTATGATTTAATTGTTTGAATATGTATTTTAAAATATGTGTTTATTTATATTTGGGTGCCAATTTTAGGACTTTTTTGTTTGTTTTGTTTTCTTGTTTGTATTAACTTTTTTCCAGTTCCATCCAAAGGGGAAGGAAGGAAATCCAGAGGCGTTCTCAACAGTAAGTCCGCCTGGGCCGGCCCAATTGTGATATTCCTTGTACTTTATTCATGACTTTGATATTGGATAATTTTCTATTTGGTTTTGGTTTTTTTTTTTTAAATAGGTCCCTTGATAAATTGTTTATTGAAAAATGCTTAAGATTTTTTTTTTTAGCATTTTTGTTTAGTCCACAAACTCGATCATCATCATCCTTGCAAATTTGGGTCTTGTTCTTCTATGCCCTGAACTCTTCAGCGAGTTTTGAAAAATCACATTTGTTCAGATACATATTTCTAAGTGATAATAAGGCTTTTTTTTTTTAAATATTCTTCAATGTGATTGGGTGAAAATCATTCTTTTGCAATTTGGGTGCTGAATATTTATTGAATGTACACTTTTATTGCTAGCATCCATAAAGTTGGGTATTGACCCACAGTAAATTTTAAATGAGATCCACAAGATAGAGTACTTTTTTATTGCTTTATAAAAATGCTAATTCTTTTTCAATTTGACGGCAACAGAAATTAGAATTACATAAAAACAAGATTTTTTCAGGTCGATTGTCATTATCTTTAAAAGATATAAATAGAAAAACTTCAGACAGAAATAAGAAAGTTAACTGTTTGTTGTTTCTTATTGTCGTTTATTGATTTTAAGTGCAATTTTTGTTTTTGTGGGTCCTATTTTGTTTTATTTGATGCAGAATTTTACTTATAAGATAATTGTTTTAACAATGTATTCACTTGTAAATGTGTTTTTTTAAATATGCATTTTCCGCTTTTATTGAATGCGTTTTCAGGATTAACCGCGGGAGAGAGAGAGAGAGAGAGAGTGAGACTGATTCAGGGGTTCCAGAAAAAAAGCTGGGCCTCCTTGATTTTTGCTTGTTTTTATATAAGTTTCAGGATGTCTTGGGAACTTAAATTGTTCAAAAATAAACAATTAAATGAACGGAACGGAACACGTGTTCGCCGTTTTCTTTCTATATATTCTACATAGATATAATCTTTATTCTTGATTTTACATGTTTGTATATATTTTATACTAAATTATACGAGTTTTTTTGTTAATGTGGGCGTTTTATTTTTCTGAAATAAATATACATATTAAAAATATATCAACCATTAAGAAATAATGTTTAGGGAAAAAAACCGTTGTACATTGAATAAATATCGTAAATTTTAAAATAAAACTACACACCAAATAGGAATCATTAATAAATTTTTTTTAACAAACAAAAAACGCAGTGGATATAAATTTAAATTTCTAAGTCGAACACAATTTTCTATGCCTCTCAATTAATTTATATATATAAAGTTCTTTTTTATTTTTATTTTTTCAAATAAAATATATATTTGGCACAGACAAACAAAAAAAAAGGCATTTTGCAATAGTTTAAAGTGGTTTCTTGTAGTATAGATAAATTGCTGGAGGATCATAAACATCTAAGACAAAGGTAAGTCTTATTATTATTTTAACTAAGCCATATATGGTAGTCAATAATAACTATTGACTAAATCTAGGAACCAACTTGATGATTGTTGAAATTCCATTTCTCGTATTTGGAACGTTGCGGTTCTTGGTTTGAAAAACCCTATATTTCCAATGGAAGACTAAGAGACAGAAGTTTTAATTTTGGAATTTTGAGATAGTTTGTTGAACAAGTGTGATATCCCAATGGGTAGTATGATAGGAATTACTTATTATTTAAGGGATCTGAGTCCTATTGGCATACTGGACACCTGTTCAAAATCCACGTAATAGATACCCGCTATAATTCAAGTTATAATGATTTGAAAATGTGCATGGCCTGAACTGATTCCATTAATTTATAGGGGAAGAACACATAAACTAAAGACATACTAAAATGAGACAAAACTAATTTAACTTGCTAGTACATTTCTAAGGTAAGTCATTTGTTTTTATTTTTAAATAAAATTTTACGTTGGTTAGACTTCTTACAGCAAGTTTAAAAGGTAAGCCTGAACTTTATTAAGGAATATTAAAGATATGGTCAACAAGATGATACTGCAAAGTGCAGCTTATAGACAGTATAAATCTACACTACATTGTAGGGACCATAAGAAGTTTTCACATCTAAGAAGTGTAATGCTTATTAAAAAAACAAATGCATTCTGTCCATACCAATAATAAAGAAAAATCGATTATAAATACACCTAGACTAAAATTAAAATTAAAAAACAGGAAATATTTCAACTTCTTAAAAAAGTCCAATTTTTGTTATGGTAAAATGTTTTTAAATAATTTACAAATGTATGAAATGCTTTCACTCATTAATCTAGTGTTTATTATTTAAAGTAATCAACACCTTATTACTTATATTACATGAATATAAACCCTCTTACACTTGTAATCTAAACTTTTTCTTACTCTTCAAGTACTAAGGATGCTTTTGCCTCTAACGTTAAATAAAGGTGCAGGACCAGACAGAATACATAATAAAACATTTTAAAAAAATTTGCTGTTGCTGCCATTTTAGTTTCTCTTTTCAATAAATGCCTATCTACAAGAATTTTTCCTAATAATAAATACTTGAAAGCAGTTATATATTTCCGATTTTTAAAAATGGCAATTTGCACTGATTTTCATAAGCTTTTGATAGTGTCGATCAAACGATTCTACTATGTTAATTACAAAAAGCATACATGGGAATTATAAAAAGCATACATGGGAATTATAAAAAGCATACATGGTAACATTATGTTGGTTTGCGTCCTGTTTAGAAGGTCGAATGTTAAAGTAAAATTAAAATCGATATTGTCCAATAGTTTTCTAGCAACTTTTGGAGTTCCTCAAGGGTTGCACTTAGGGCCTATTCTTTTTAAAATCTATATAAACGATATCTCTGATTCTCTTCCGTCCGTTATGGTACTACTTTTCACAGATGTTTTAAAAATATTCTTAAAAATGTACTCTTTCTGACTTCTTACATCTTCAACATGTGTTAAACTTAATAAATAGAAAGGATGAAGTGGAGAATGTTGTTTGGCTTATGGTAGTTGACGAATTAATTTATTTAATGTAATTATTTATTTTATTATTATTTTTAATTTCATCAATTAATTAAAATATCCAAATTAATTACTAATTTAAAATTATTTATTAAGATAATATTTAGTTGTTTTTATAATTCCCGCTTTTCGCACGTTCAAAATTGAGCGGCAGTAAAAACTGGCTTCTCATTGGAGCGTCACATTGGCGGTTGATCCGGCCGGTTCAGTCTTACAATTCTTGTCGAGAGACGTGGTTGTAATCTTTCAATCTGATGAGCTTTAAGCTTTAATTCCGGTAGTTGAAAACAACAAACTGTAAGTAGGAACTATCTTTAAAAAAAATCAAACTTAATAAATGGTTCATATGCGTGTATGAGTCATAATTGACCGTATTAATTATTTCAATTAATTATACTTTTATCTAAGGTCTTGGTCGAGATGAAAAAGCTAGTGTCACGAGCGGGACACTAGTTTTTTCATCTCGACCAAGACCTTAGATAAAATATATAATTAATAAAAGGTGGTTCAACTAATAATATTCTTTTAAATACTGACAAATGTTCAGTTATGACCTTCCATCAAATAAAACATCCTATCAAATTTAACTACGTCATCAGACTTATTGGCAGTTAGATTAACATTCACACACATTAATAAAACTATTGCTAAAGCAAATAAAACTTTAGGATTTATTACACATCATACTAAACTGTAATTACCATGATCTAGATACTCGTAAAATTTTATAACACTGTAAGACCAATATTATTATTGTTCGCCTCTTTGAACTCCCTTTCAATCCACCCGTATCACTCGCATCCAAAAAAAGATTTTTACGCCTGAACAACCGGAGAATACAGAGATATTCATCATCGATTATGTCAGATCTGAAAATGACGACTGTTCTGTACAGAAGGAAATTCTTTGATTGCATATTATTATATAAACTATTACATTCCGTAACTGATTTCCCATTACTGCTTAATCGAATTAATTTTCATGTTCCATCTTATCATTCTTGAAGTGAAATAACATTCTACATTCCTCAATTCAGTTGTAAACCAAGAAAAACAAATTCATTGAAATCATTAGAAAATATAGAAATATTTAACATCAGTTTAAGTAAATTTAAGCAAATTTTATCATTAGAAAATTAAATATTGTTTCATTACTATAATTAATTCTTATTGACCACCATTTTGAACATTTGAAATAAAGTATCCTTCTCTATTGAAGTTAGGCACTTCATAGACCAACGGTGCTGATCTTAGCGTTCTCAAATTTTAATCAAAGTTTGAGCACATTTATTTACAATTCTTGCATATTAGAAAGCAAGAGTAGTTGGAAAAAGATAATGATAAATTAAAGAAAGATTGGTGTAAATTTTGTCATTACTGATCATTTCAGTCTAACAATCAATCCTCAATGATTTTGACGAGATGTAGAAAGGAATCATAATGAGTTAGAGAAAGAGCTGTAAGCAAATGAAATATATATTTGGGCATTACTGATTTAATGAGAGACAAAAAAGTGGCCACCCTCAGTATTTTTAATTATCTCCAATATTTAGTGCATTTTAAACGATTAGAGCTAAATAAAACACGGATAAAATACCCACTTGTGTACAATTGGATTATGTATAATCATAAATATATATATGTATACACAATAAATTGCCACAGTAAGGTAAAGGTCCTGGGTTGGAATCCAGCAGCCCTGCAGAAACATTGACTCTATGAGGGTTGATATGACCTCTGCTGTTGCGAACCCTCTTTAAAAGAACAAAACAGTCAATCTTTTCTTTGTTGGTTTTTCTGTAAAGCTTACTTCTAACCTATATATGTTTAGTGGTCATAATTGACCATATTAATTATTTCAAGTAATTATTCTTTTTATCTAAGGTCTTGGTTGAGATGAAAAAGTTAGTGTCATGAGCGAGATATGCTCTTACCACTTGACTTATGACTTCAATGGACAGCGTGTTGAGCTGAAAGTTATGGGTGTGAATCCCGCTCGTGACACTAACTTTTTCATCTCAACCAAGACCTTAAATAAAAAGAATAATTAATGGAACTTATTTCTAACAGTATCTTCTATGCAATCAACCAGCCTTTACTCTATAATAGTCTCATCGCAACCCTAATCCACAAGACTTCTTTCTAACATTCTGGTGGTTTGATTTTTTTTAAGCTGTACCATTTTTAGGTTTCAAATTTGTATACTCAAGAAAGCATGGATCAGGTGTGTGTTACATCGTGTGAGAAGGTGCGAAGTATTCATGTTGCATCTATTGGTACTTTTCATTTGTTTTCTAAAGTCCAGTACATTAGGAAAAACGACTTATAACGTGTCACATTTCAAGAGAGATGATCGTTTAATTGTGAATACTCCATAATCGACATTCCACCACTGTTGAGATCAAGCAATGACTTTCAGAAGCTGGATTATGTGTGAGAAGGCCTGCCACTGGTCCAAAACTGGCAAGACACAGAACAGCTTGGTTAAGTTTCACAAGAAATCACATCATTTGGTCTGAGCAAGATTGGGCTAAAATCTTGTTTTTGGATGAGTTAAGGTTTTGTTTGATGTCTTGTGACAGCCGGGTCAGGGTATGTCAAAGAACAGGAGAGTGATATATCCCTGAAACATTTTCACTCCAAAGAATATATAAATTATAGCTATACTTTGTAGTGCTCTTTTTCGTACAAGACTAAGCCTTTTCCTGCACGTCTTTTTTGGTGTGAGAATTTCCAAACCGAAGTGGCAACATTCACAAAGGATATGTGTCGATGTCTTTGGTTTCTCCTGACAGTCAACATGTTTCTGTTTCTACTTTGCCTATCTTCTTTAGGTGAAAGTTCTGAGGGCAGTGCCAGGAATAGAATATTAAGAATTTTTCTTAAATCCTGCCTGCTGAGAGTTCCTTCACATTCCTTTTTGAGAGATTTATAATTCCCTTTGCTTTCCTCATACCTGGTGTTTTTGTCCAGTGTTTTTTACTCTCTCAAGCCATTTTTCCAAATCTAACTTACACATTCTGGTGCACCTAGTATTGGTTCTGGTCCCATGGGTGAGAATGCTGCCACTTGTTTTGCTTGTTGTTCATTTCTTTTATCCTTATTGTAAATTGATGACTTGAAATTGATTAGTTTAAAAAATACTTTATGCCAGAAAATTTAAAGCTATCATTGAAAAAAAGTAAACCATCAAAATTGCTGAATAATACAAATCCATGTCAAGCAACATAAAACCTTTGTTATTCTGAACAATGAATCATGCATGATGAAAAAGAAAAAGAAAAGTGATTCAGACGTTTATTTAGAATAATAAAATAAGTTTAGAATAGAATATAAAAATTTCCAATATATTTTCAAATGACATTTGTTTTGAATGAAGGTGGAAAGTTTTTGTTAAAAAGTTTTGTCCAATAGGAGAAAAAGAAATGGGCAAAACTGAGAACAAACAAACAAATTTTTTTTACAATAATTTGTATTATTTTTGTAAAATTGTAATTGTTTTAAATATATTTATTTAAACACCGGTGAGATGCGGTCTGGTGTAGGTTTATGTAGGTTTCAGAAAAACATTTTCTTTATCGTGCCAACATTTCGATCTTTATTGAGATCATCTTCAGGGCTCAAAGTGTTTGTCTTCTGTGTAATTGCGCCATTCTTGCGTGTCGTGTCGAGAGTGCCCAGTGTCGTTTTAAATATAATTTATTGATAGGTATTTTTCTCGGATCAGATGGTGGAAAGAAATTGTATAATTTTTTTAAAATCTCTTTATTCATCCACAAAAAACAAGGGGAAACTGACAAAATTGCAGAACAATACAAATCCCAAACTAAAAATATGTGAAATACAAATTTACATTATAATTTTTTAAAACTTTTTTGTAAACCCATTTTTTTTAAATATTTTAATATGTTTTTGTATTCAAAGTTTTCCCACATGCACCCAATTGTTTCAGTCAATTTTCTCATTCTTCTGTCTTGACTAGTTCAACAGACTCTTTTATTGACCTCAGAAGAAATTGAATTACCACTCACCCTGGATCTCGAAGGATCCCCAATTTTACACAACACACATGCTTAGTCACTAAAAACCTACTTCACAATTAATGTAATTTACATAATTAAACAATATTCGAGCATAATTCTTTTTGTACAATAATTACAATTTAAATAATTTTATTTATAAAATAAGATAAAATCAGTGCAGTTTTTTTTTAATTTTTTTTTTTTTACAAAGATAACTTTTGGTCTTTAGATTTGAGTCATAATAATTTTTTTGCCTCTACAAAAAGGTAACATATTTCACGTGGGGCATGTATCCATCCCTTAGATTTAAAATACACGTAGTACATAGAGATTTCACTTGACCCCATTACAAATTACAAAAATCATCTCATCCTCCATTATATTTTAAATATTTCAACATCAAATATACATCTATATCTTCCATCGACTGATTATATAACATGCGTTATGTATATTTCATATAACATTACAAATTTAATTTACAATCTATTTGGTAAAAATATTAAGGTCAAAGGCACATTAGAATTTTTATGTTCAAAAACCACTTTTCCTCTAAATCCCGGGGTACCATATTTAACCCCGTAGCATATGGCATTATGATTTGATTTAAAGGACGGACAATTTTAAAAATCTCCCCGAAGGCACTTTAACAGAAAAATACAGTTTTTTAAAGTCTTGCAATTGCAAGTCCTTAAAATAGTGCATTTTTAAGCCATTAAAGCTTTAACAGCTGGTAGTGTTAAAACAGCAATTAAAAAAAAAAATCCCGACTCACTTCAAAATACTTTTTTCAAAATTAAACTCAGTATTTAAACTTTTTTAATGGTTGCTGATATACAATCAGTTCCATAAAGAAAAAATTCAGATTATTGAAGTTTAGTTTTTAAGATTGTTTTTGTCGATGCCTAGTATTTTGGCTGCATCTGTGGCTGTAGAGGCGAGCATTGTTTCTACCAAAGATGCATCCTTGATGCCAAGCAAGTTAGATATAAGATCAGACTTTGGAGAGCCTTGGAACTCTTCGGTTTCAGCAGGAGGAACGATAATCCCTGGTGAACCGTGTTTCTTCTTGTGTCTTAGCATTGAGTGCTTGAGGGTGAACCGCCGGGAACAGAGATCGCAAGAAAAAGGGCGCTCACCTGTATGTGTTCGCATGTGACGACGGAGATCTTCTGCTGACCAAAAGCGTCGAAGGCAGAAAGCGCAAATCACCTAACATAATAGAAAATTAAAGTTCTGATCTTGCAGTTTTAGTTATTCTATGAGATCTTTTTATAAATTTATTTACCTTTCTATTGCTGTGGTCTTTTGAAATAGACTCATTCTCTTCAGTCTCAGAACAACTATCTAGAGCACCTTTAGCCACAAGAGCATCATACTCTTTCCGATGTATAGCTTTAAGATGCTCGAGAGCGTCTTGCCTCTCTCGGAATGCCGATTCACAGAGATGGCACTTGAATGGCATCTCAGTGACTGATGTGTCTTGAGCGACAGGTTCTTCTTTCTCTTCTCTTTTCCTCGATCTTTCTTCCTGCTTTGCCCCATGCTTTCTTCCTAGATGTCGGTCACAGTTTGACTTGGTAGTAAAAAGCAGGGGGCAAGCCGGGCACTTGTATGGTTTCTGCCCTGTGTGGGTCAGGACATGACGGCGCAAAGAAGAAGTCCAGGGGAATTCCCTCGAGCAATATGGGCAGGATACTCGATTCGGTGCAAGGGAATAAGCACTTCGCTTCTTTTCTTTCCCATCCCTCGCCTCAGGAGAACCGCGCTCCTCAGAACTAGCATCCTCTGATGTAGCAGCTACAAGGCCTTCCTCGCTATCTTCACCTGGGTCGTCTTCTGTTCTATCAAAGTACTCCCTGAAATCTTGAGATGAGGCGTTATCAAGCATCTTTGACACTGAAGCAAGATCTTAAAAAAAGAAATCATTATTAATCCAGCACAATTGATCTATTAGTTGATCTAAGGAATATTAATCTAATTACCTCCGGCTTCCTTCTTTTCTTCATTCTTTAGTTTTATCTGCTCAACAATTGCCTCTTTCACACCTTTAGGAATTTCTCTGCTCTCTGTTTTTGGTTCTCGAGATTTTCTGCCACCACTGCGTTGTCTCTGAGACCAGAATTCAGGATGCTGTTGCTTTACATGTCGTTCCATATTTGATCTGCAAATGATTTAAACAATATATGTTAGTTAACACGATTTGATGAAAAATAAAATCTTCTAGAGAAAAAAAAAAATTGTAACATGCTTGTTACTAAAGGTAACTTAAATTATAATCCATGATTTATTAAATTTATAAAAAAATTCTGCAACACTACCTTAAAGTAAATCTGGCTGCACAATGATCACACCCAAATGGCCTTTCGGTTCTGTACCGCCTTTGCTTTTGTTTAGGAACAAGCAGGCCATTTTTTACGACCATCTTCACTTCTTCTTTTTTCTCTAGGATCCTACCACCTGTGAGTTGAAGACCTCTAAACAGATCCTTTTGAAGATTTTGGTAAAGGATTGGAGGATGAATGAAATACGGTATAGTGAGAAATGGGTAGACCGGTTTTTTGACGCTAAGGTCTATCGGGAGATCCATCTGAGTAGAAGCTTCTTTGGTATGCCGATTCCTCATATGTCGTTCACAGTTGGCTTTAGTCGTAAAAGCATATTTGCATACAGGACATTCATACGGCCTTTCGCCATTGTGCGTCCGCATGTGTCTGAGCACGAGTGATCTTTCGAAAGATCTGTAAGGGCAAAGGTTGCACTCGAAGTTGGGACCTTCCAAGTGAACCCTGTTGTGGCTCTTCAGGGCTCGCAGGTTCGGAAATAACATTGTGCAGAGTCTGCATGTGAACTCGCCTTTTGATTTCATCTTCTTGAAGTCTTCGAGAAACGGGTCTTGCTCCTCTTCGGTTTCAGGGGATGTAGCCAGCTCGAGCGATGCAAGGAATTCTCTCTTCGAAGAGAGATCATAGCCCTCGATGTTGTTGTTGTCCTCATAAAATCTCGGCCTTTTCATAGGAACCGATGATCCCATGGAGTCCGAATCGGATGTGGTGGGATCTACATCGGATATTGAGCTGGACCTCGAACGCATCCTTGATGCAGAGAGGTCTGAAAAAAAATTATTATATTAAAAAAGGTACAAATTAAAATTCAATTTAAATAAATAGCTCATATTTCTGCTATTTTTTTTGTCTTTTGACAAGTTTGAAAAAAAATCGAAAATCAAGATTTAAAATTTAAGATAAATTTAAATGGATAATCAAGTAAATTTTTAAAATGTTATAATAAAAAAAGGAAAAAATTGATTGATGCTTTCTATCATAGTATTCGGGAAAGACACACTCAACAACTAACTGAAGAGTACAAAACAGCGAGACCAGGTGGCCAAACAACTCTTAGATAATACAAAGCTTTTAATAGATTATAGATCTCAATGTTAAGCGCATCTTTTCTGCCTGTTTCAACCCCCTTAATTAAACTTGTATTTATTTATTTTTAACAGTAAGCTATGACAAATTGTCTATTCGAATTATTAGTGGATTAGTAATTAATGTAAAGTTAATAAAAAAAGATAAAATATCGATGTTTCATACAGTCCCTCTGGGATAAAAGGTTGGTAGGTGTGGTCAAAACAGAGGGTGTCTCCTTAGCAACCTGCCACGGCATCCTGCACTCAATTTAACGCCCCCGGATGGAAGAAAAAAAAGGGGGTGGAAAGATCGAAATACATAATCCTCCCCCTGACTCACCCCCGGGTTACATCCGTTGCTAGCAACAGCCTTGGATCAATCCGAACCCTTTTTCCCAAATAGATTTCGTGGGGGAGACAAAAATACGATCTTTTCCGCAGATTAACAAATGCAAAAAAATAAAAAAAATAAGAGAATATTTCATATGTTATTTTAATTATGTAGTTTGATCCGATCATTTTGGTCTCGCTTGATATTTCTTCTTCATTCATTACTTTTCTTCGAGCATTACTTGGTATGTGCTTTATTAAGTGTCATCCATCTACAGCGTGTGATATTTCATTGAGTCAAGCCGGGTTTTCCTCACTTTAGAAAAAAAAATTAGAAGGAAAAAATTCCAGTAGACAGTTCATACTTGGACTTCAAAGTTCGATAAATAGGATTTACCAACATCAAAAGTGGATGGTCTTCGATAAACTATGATCTACCAACATCAGAAGTTGGTGGTCTTCAATTAACCATTTTCTACCAACATCGAGAGTTGATAGTCTACAAAAAACTGACGTATCATCAAAATTAGGTGGTCTTCAAAAAACTATGATTTTACAGCATCAAAATTAGGTTGTTTTAAATGAACTATAATCTTCCAACATCAAAATTAGATCGTCTTGATAAACTATGGTCTTTCAACGTCAAAATTAGGTAGACCAAGAAAATATGATGTACCAACATCAAAAGTTGGTGACTATGATCTGCCAACTACAAAATTAGGTGGTCTACAATAAACTATGATCTACCAATATCTAAAGTTGGTAGTATTAAAAAAACTGACCTATCATCAAAATTAGGTGGTCTTCAAAAAACTATGATTTCTCAATATTAAAATTAGCTAGTTTTAAATAAATTACGATCTTCCAACATAACCATTAAACTATTTTCACGATTTAAAAATATCACCAATCCATACAAGCTTATTAGCTTACACATATATATTACTGAATTTGTGGAGAAAACTTACCTTGTGGCTCCTCTTGGGGTGAAGGTATATTGTCGTAGCTATGCTCCATTCTTAAGATGTTAACTCAACTCTGTCCTGACGGATCAAAAGTATGATAAAACAGTAGAATGGTATTTCACATCTAAAACAGACAAAAAAAAAATACGCCGAAATTAGAAAAATAAGTATGAACAAAAGTTTATGCTGTTATTAAAAAAATAATCGTAAATAATGTTGTACAATAATAGTAACGATCTTGTAGGAGGCAGTTAGTTCTCAGAAATTTTAGGAAAGGGATTCCTTTTCCATTTTTTCTTTTTTTTATTGTGTTCAATACGGAAGGAGTATGAGTAGTAATATTGTTCCATTGGGTAATCTGTCAATTCTTATCAAACACCAGATAGGCAATGAGCCCAAAATGCAAAATATAAAATAGTACTTATATTCCCTTCTACCAAAGGCAGTTAATAATAATGTAACTTTATTTAATTTATTTATTAACAAAAAAGGTTCAAGCATTCTACTTTGTTTGCCAGTTAAGCTCAGAAGAAAGTCAAATCAAGGAAAAAGTTGATTTTTATAGATGAATTTATTTATATAGTTAATTCTCGTGGGAAATTTATCCCCCGATGATTCAGTTCAAGGGTGACGGCTCATTTCCCTGAAAAGCGGGTGGGTAACGGGGATACGGAATAACCGCTGCCTTCTTCGATCTGCGGCCTCGTCTCCACGGCGACCACGTCCACTGTTGGTGATAACAAAGACCACAATCACCACGGCGACCCTCACGGAAAACCTGTGACGATATCGCGAGAAACTGTCGCTTGGGAAAATGATGAGTGGAATACCACAAAATCCTGTCGTGCCGATTTGGCTAGGTCGCCTTTGTTGGGCTAATCCCAATATTCAAGAGATTTGTTGTTCGTAGCGAATATGGTTAAAGCAGCGCATAAGAACATACATACACAGAGGATACATTTTAAGTAGACATCATGAAATTCTGATGAAAAAAGAGAAAAACAAATCCCAACTTCTACAAAATACATTCTCCACCACGCTCCTTCAGCCTTACAACTTAATACGACACATCGGCTCAGTTTTCGATCTCTTTTTTCAGTCACATTTCGCCCACTTAAAGGGCGATTGCTAGACATTCTACATTTGCGGGCGTGTAAGAGCTATGTGTAGTATTCCTCCGTAAATCAGATTAACACACCCGTTGTTTAGCCGCCATTTTATGTGTGTGAGGGAGGAGAAAGTAATTCAGACAGAGAAATTGAAAATAGTATGAGGAGGATGTAACGAATGATATCGAAAAAAGTCAAAGAGTGGTAAAGAAAGTGTGAGAGCGAGAGAGAAAGAAAGAACCAGATAGAGATAGACAGTTACAGAAAGAGAGGAAAGATTGAGTGAGTGAGTGAGAGAGAGAGAGAGTGAGAGAGAGTGAGAGAGAGAGAGAGAGAGAGAGAGAGAGTGTGTGTGTGTGTGAGAGAGAGAGAGAGTGTGAAAAATAGAGAGGGATAGCCGAACTAGGGATGAAAGTAATAAAGAGAGAGGAAAAAGAGAGAGTAAAATAGAGAGAACGCGAGAATAAAATAGCGAGGAACAGATGGAGAGAGAGTAAAGTGAGTGAGAGAGAATGAAAGAGAGGAAAATATTAACTAAATTTTCGTTCAATCATTTTGCTCAATGTTACCTCATTTTCCATTTCAATATACATAATTATGGCGAAATGACAAAACTAATCTTTCAGAACAGAAATCAGCGCGACTAGGAGGACCGGAATGATCCTAAACGACCAACCTACGCCTTTATCTATACATAAAATCTTCTACAACAAGTGGAGGGGCGCGTAATGTAATCAAAGAATAGTCATTCCTATTGATGATATTATTTTGATAATTCTTGACACAACTTAGTTTTATTACTACTATTATTAAGATGGCACACGGAAGCGTCTGTATCTCGTTTTTACAATTACTGACACGTTCCCTAAATCGGTATGGGGGTCCCTGTATGCTTTCCGTTTTGGCTTCGAAAACTTGAAAAATATATTGCAGCTTAATTATCTAATGATAATTTATTGTTGGACGTCTAACTTGTCATATTCTCCAAGGGGGGAAAAGTCAGTTTTTAAAATTCCAAGACGATCCTGATGACTCAAGGACGTGAGGCGGTTATCCGAGGATATGATAAGTGTCCTCGAGAATAGACTTTTAAAAAAATAAATAACATATCAGACACGACAAACGTTTTTATTAGAGATAAAATCAAATCGGTATCTAAATCTCTTCTCTACCCAATTTATTGGTAAATAAAACCATTACGATTTTTTGACCATAAAAATGCTCGCTCTCAACATCAAAAAATAAACCCCTTGAGTCGATACGTTCGGTTTTACCAGAATTTCTGACTGGATTTAATCAACCTGATTATCGAAAAAAAGCAATACGGAAAATAGATAGTTTGATTCAACAATCCGTAATTTTCCTTCTGAAAAGTTGATAAGTCCGATAAGCCGTAATAAGTCTCCCTTCCTCGAAATCCACGCCCGTATTTATATTTCAAGAGAGGTCCCGTGTACAGATGTAAATAGGTGCACGTTTTCAAGACGTAACAGACATAAAACTAAAAATCGCCGGACATGAGAAACATCCAAGATTAAAAAAATTTAAGGAAGGATTGACAAGTCGGGTGCTGTGACGTCCTCTTCGTTTGTCTTTGGCTCCGACACAACTGGCACTTTAGTTGGTAACTGACGCACTATTCCTAGCAACAAGTATCGTTTCGATCAAATGTCCGCTAATCCTAAGGTCTGTCAGTCGCGTTTCGGCTTTTTCCATTTATCAGTGGTTCGCCAGTGGGTTATAATGTCAAGTGTGTCTATTTACAAGGTTATCGGTATAAAAAAACTTACTAATTTGGTCTGTCAGGCGCGATTGGGCATCACAGCGGTTAGTCTGAATTTATCAAGCCACCTATTTGTAAAATATCAACTCCCAAAAGATAGCCAGTTTGATCTGTCAGGAGCCTTTCGACGTCACAAATAGGTCTGTATTCTGTCCGTTTGTAACTAAAACTCGCTAATTTGGACTATCAGGCAGGTATCGCCATTTCGTCGTACTCAGTGATTGGCATGAGCGTTACTCAGTCAGTTGTGTCCGTTTGCTTGGAATCAACGCCCGACAAAACGCTAATTTGATCTACGGACTTGTATCGTTAGCATCAGATGTTGCCTGTGCCTTATTATACCAGTTGTATCCGTTCATCTGCTATTAGCACCCAAAAACACGTCATTTTATTTTGCGCCTTATTCAGTCAGCTATGTCCATTTTTAATGTATCAATACCTGCTAGTTTGGTCCTTTAGACTCGTCCAGAATGTTCGCCAACTTCAATATTGTGTTAGTCGTTCTACTTTTCTCTGATCCTCGATAACCTCGGAACATTAAATACAACATATTCTCCCAGCAGACCCCAAAAATATATAGCACAATAAAAATACTGATCATTTACTGTAATAAAAAAATACTGATGAACCAACTGGGCACAGTGCAGAGCCAAAATAGTTAATAGGTCCTTAGTTAATGTATGTAAGTACACTAACATGGCCCAAATCCAAGACTATCAGTAATGTTCAACGTTGTTTACGATTCTCAATATTGACAGCATTGTAAATAATTAAAAAAATAAATTTTAATTGACCGAACTGTAACCTCCTCCTGAGGTCGGCGGGATGATGTACTTTATTTTGGTCCGTTTAGCCTCCCCGTTGTTTCGTCTACGCGTTTCGGAGAAAAGTATTGGTTATTTATGTTGGGTGTATTTTTTAAACTTGCCAAAATATAGTGGTTCCAGTATAATGAAGCACTATCAAAAATCAATAAATAACGAGTCTGATATCAATTGTACGCCTATAATAACATTCTCACTTTTCGTCCAAATCGATTAAGGACCACATCATCATCATATCCAGGTGGTATGAGTCAAAGGGGCAATAAGTTAATTGCATTGCACTTCCTGAGGGAGGGTTCCGAGGGTGGGAAATGGAGTCTGTGTGACGCACGCCAGTTTTTTCTCCTCCCGCCCCACGGCTCACCTTTGGGAGCGCCCCAGATCAATAAAGTCCACCTGAGTTATCGTCCCCGGGTGTTGTTTTTTTACTCTCCCCCGGACCGTTCTCGCTCTTATCTCGCTCCTCCTCCCTCTCTCTCGGTCGCGCCACTCGAGGCACCGGGTGGAAAAGAGAGGGACCGACTGGGAAAAAAACCGATGAGATAGAAGATTAAACATAGGAGCGGCTCCGGAGGACGGAATTTCTCAGATAAGGATCCGGAAAACGGACAATATCCGCACTATCGACAGGTTTTTTGGGTCTTAGCTAGAAATTTAAAAGCGAAGCACTATCAACAGTAGCACGGGAGAGTATCCTTTGTAAGGACCAAAACGTGTAGGTCAAAAACCAAATTAAATCGTATTTATCCGCAAAAGTTAACCAAAATGCAGATAAATATTCACAAATTCTCTAACACTAGCTCTATTTGATTGACTTAAATGATGACATGCCGAGTCAGAACTGTTTATCTTCGATTTTTGTAACAATATTTGTCCTGGAATTTGAATTCAATTAATTTTACAAAGACTTGTCGATCTTTATTGATTCGATGAGTCATCAAGAGAAAATATACATCGCTTTGTCTTATCTGTCGTCACTGATCCTGGCCATTTTTCCTCTATGATCTTTGTCCCGTTTTCGAGATGATCATTATTGATCGAAAACCTTTGACGAGGGATCATTCCAACTTGCCCATTTATTTAACGGTTTAATAATCGTAGACGTTTATATTCTGTCTTAGTCCGACGGTTTACAATCCAGGGGTTTTCCTTGGACCCGAAAGAAAGGAAAACAAATCAAGCTTTGTGAAAATGGACCAGAAGCTACCGCTCTGGAATAAAATCGTCAAACGAAAAATGAAAGAAAAAAAACACAAGAAGAAGAAGACCATCAAATTCCCACGCGGTGATCACCGGACTGTGAAACACGCAAGCATTGTCTTTTCTCCGAGGCGGGAAAAGAGCGGAAGACGGGCGCACACACACGTTGAAAAAGACAGGCGGACACACGCCGGGCCACGCACACGCC